TCTAACAAAAGACGAGAGCTTCCTCAACCAATCAAAGCTTTTCGGAGACACAGGCAACTTTGTCCCCAGGGTCTCAGATTGAACAAGTTATAAGTTTTCCTGAGTTCTTCCTTCTCAATTATCCTTTTATTTCCTTTTTATCAAATGCGTCAAAGTTATATCAAAGTTACATAGTTAGTTAAATGGTTGAGCCTGTGGCGTGGAATGTATTTATGTAAAATTTGGTAATCGGATTTTGTAAATGTTTAATTTTATTCGATTGTTTTAGGTTTCATGTATGTGCTATGTGTGCGTGCATATTCCATGTAGTATGTGCGCTAGGATAAGTTAGCTACTGACGTAGGTACATATCTATTATCCAGCAACTGATTATGACTTCTTCACATCTATTATAAAAACCTATATTCTTCCGTAAGATTTCAATTTTCTCATATGCAAAATTAATTAAGTAAAGAGTCGATTTCACCAAACTATTTATTGCTCAATTGTTTTTTGATGTATTGCGAATTGTTCATCCAATTTATTAGTTATAAAAGCTTTCAAACCAACTAACAACTCGGTCCAATTCTTTATTCAAGTCGCCGTTCAACGAGCATCACATGAAAGCGTCAAATGATATTAACAGTAAATAATATTTCAAGAGAAGCTCATGAAAGAAAACGTCGAGGTTTTGTAGGCCATCACTGACCACAAAGCTCCATTGTCACCTTTTGTATAGAGTGCAATTTTTGACAGCTAAAATTTGGCATACATACATTTTGGACTAATTGCATTATGTGCTAAATTTAATTGACCTCATATAAATACAGTGCGCACCTGCGCACTCTCAGAAGCGCTAGCTTTTCAAATACATGCTTGTAACTTTCATAATTTTTTACGATATTACAATTATACTTAGCACTCAAGATAACATTAAGCACACATACAAGATATGCAAAACTCCTCGCCAGTATATTTTAGTTCCCGAAATATCGCTACAATTCTTTTGTGTTCACACACAATGGGGTCTGGCTAATCGCTCACCGTCCCATAATAACTTCTTTAAGGCATAGTAACCAACAATTAAACGTACCAGATAGGTTGCCGTCAGTGTGCAGCAAACAAAAGAACGTTTACCAGGCATTGTGTATTCTCAGCACTGATATGGTGGCTGCAATTATACCTCCTGCATTGTATGCTTCATTAATAACTTAATGCTTCTGACCAATCTGGAAGTCATCTGATCATTTGTGGCAGTGGCTATGTGGTGTGGCACAAATCATGCCTTATGTAGCCGCAATTATTTTGATTGTATTATGTACCTGCATTATATGAGGATTCACTGTCTCCACCGCTCAGCTACGTTGCCAGTTTATAGGCACATTTATCGGCCACCATTGTTCTACATCGTCAGTTTACGGCCACATATATCAGTCGTGACAATAGCAGAGCACTTCAAGCAGCCTCATCTCCCGCATTCGATTATTTAGTAAAGCTCTCTGTTGACTTGACTTCTCGGAGACAAGTTCTCCACGATACGCTGGGTTAAAATGTGCTCCAACAAGCGGTGCATTTCGAGACTGACGCTAATTTCGCTTTAGTCAAAAAGGCGACCGTCGCCAACCTGAGCACGCTATAAAATTCCACAGACCATGTTTCCAAATGTGGTCCCGAGTCATAAAATTAGTTTCAAATGAATAACTTAGTATGTGTAGAGAATTCATGGTGGGAGAAAGTTCAGCAAAACAAAACTGACGAGAGTTAAGTTATTGATTGCTTCCTAGCTTATTCTTTACTAAACGTCCTTCCAGAGAGAGGAATTCAAATCAAAACGCGCATCTAAACTTTACGATTTTTATTTTTTCTATGTTATTTTTTTCTATAACAAATTTTTTGCCATAGACTTGAATACTAGAAAACGCATTTTAAGCATTTCAGAAAACTGAATTCAAACTTTCTGAACAGAATGACGCGCAAGCGATTTTATTAGTCTCTTAGACGCGCTCACATTGCCAGCTCAGCGAAAATGGTTCGCCGCGGGATTGTTCTATGATTAGCTTATTAGCACGCCATGCCTTAGCACATTACCTGGAGGTTTCGTAGCTAAATACTTGAAAGGCAATATTATATCAGATCAAACATCAGTTGGGCATTTTTATTAGCAACATAATTAGGATTCAATGTAGATTATTGTCGCTTTTACCTGCCTTATTTTCTTATTGTTGTCTTGCGAATCTAGTACATCTCGTGAGTGTCTAATGGGGTACTTGAGAAGAATTTAATAACACTGGATTGCGCTCGAAGAATCTTTCGTTTGCGGCACTCCTCGAGCACTCATGATTTAATTTTTTGGCAACATTTCGGTGCTGAGTGGCTGCAGAAGAAGATTTTGTATCCATCATATAACAGAAGAATGGAACATTAGATGTATGGATCAAGTTTCTAATTTTAGTTAAATAAAATACTTATATTTTAATGCAACCAAACTATAGTTTCGTCCACACCACAATTATTATGACTACAGTCGGTCAACAACATTCAGTCAAACGAAATATTCTAAATTTATAGATATATAGGTAGAAATGGTATTTTATGTATCAGTTATAATGATAAGTTTCGACCAAATTAAGCAAGCTCCTAGTGCAAGCTCCTACTCGAAGTTCTTTTCGGCATCGTTTCACAGCATAAAAATCAATGACGCGCGCGATTCCACGCGCGATTCCATCAATTCACACGCGCGATTCCATCAATGTAAGATTCTCAGAAGCCAATGTAAGAACAGTCACGATCAGACTTTTCGTTTTCCAATTCCTAATTTCGACTGTTACAAACTTTCGAGAAAAGTTGAGTGGAGAGCCTAAAGGCTGTTGATATTGATATTGATGGTAAAGGCTGGACTCACACCAACAAATAGCAGAGACTGTGAGATGCCTGAATAGCGAACAAAACCTGAAGGTATAACATGATCGACGTGAGCAATTAAACCAGCAGAATTTACAGTTCTTTTACTTATACGAGTGCGGGACGATTAAATGTGTGCGAGTTCTATAAAGAAGAATATGTACCCAAGAATTTAGAATAGCGTCTAAATGAAAGCAACCAAAATAAAGGTCAAGATTTTCATGACAAAATTAAAAATTTTGGTCGCGCGAGGATTGTTAAAGAGATTTGGACACTCGCATCTAAAAGATAACGAGTTTGGAAATTTTAAACTGGGTATGTGCAACTCAGTATTGAATTGTCAGAACAAGTATTGATACCTAGAGAAACAACTTCATCCGGTTCGACCCGCGGCGAGAGGCCGAAAGCTATGCGGCAGGCGAAGGCGGTCATGGATGGCTATGACCCGGACAGTGGCCAGACATTGGGGATGCAGATCTTAGCGCTCGCCATGTTGGACCTCGCCCCTACACCCTTAAAAAGAGGAAACATATCAGGGCCAAAAGGAAGAAATGTCGATTGGAATTTCCAATTACTCTCATTGGAATTAAAAGTATTTTTATTCAGTATTCATCGCATATTAAGTCTTCATCGACATTCGTTAACTCTAGCAAATTCGGATGCAGGAGCTCACTGTAAATTCGAATGAGGTTCAATTCAGCCCTTCGATCCGTTCATATGTACAAAGTCCTATCAAAAATAATCACCTATCTATTCCCTTTACGCGCCACTGTTTTCTGTACAGGCTAGCATCAACGAAGTTTTTAAATATTTGGCATGCGATATTATATTCATCAAGCACGCAAGCACGGATCGACGTAAGCATCTTTTCTTGCGATGCAGCATTTTTGTGGTAATACTGAGTTAAGCATTTAAGGGAACGTAAAGGCAGTGAAGCAGACCGCGGTAGGCGCAAAAAGAATAATAACGTTGATGGTAAACGTAATTATTCAATTTCAAAATTTCTTGTGCGTTCAGCAGAAACGCAAATCATGCGACTCTCACGCATTCATGCGATCAAAGAAGTAATAATATGTTTAAAAAATACATTTTAATGACAACACTTCTAAAGAATCCAGTGTCTCCAATGTTACATATGTACAATAAATTTCTAATTTTATTTTCGAATATTAAAAAATTTATTTTCCATTTTTTTAATAAATAAAATTTTTTCGAAATTATTCATTCTGTCAATTGATTCATGCATTGCCTCTGACTTCACACAAGTATGCAAAATTTCAGATAAATTGGACAGGTAAAAGTGTGTGGAATATAAATTATAAGATTTGTAGCGGACAAAATTATTTTTTTTTTCAATTTTTTAATATTGGAAAAAAATTGTACTTATTAAAATTATTCATTTTGTTAATTGATTCATGCATTATCTCCAACTTTTCGCAAGTGTGCAAAATGTAAGATCGATAGGATAAGTAGAAGTGTGTTAAATTTCGATAATGAGATTTGTGGCAGACAAACAAACAACAAGAAGTGAAGGTAAAGAGAAGTGTTGTAAAAATTGCACTAATTAATATTAGAATCTAATTATAACATTCGCTACCCGTTCTCAGCACGTCTGCAGGCCTATCAGTTACGTAAAATCTCTTCAAAAAACTCTAGTAAATTTATCGGTAGCGTTATAATGCTGTTAATAGAATATTTTTACCTCAACCGAAATGGTTGCTTACAAGAAACACAATTCAGAAGAGCTGATTTCGACGAAAATTATAGAAGTAAATATCGGATATTACTTCAGCTTTTTCATGGTTGAACTAGTAACTTGTTCAACCATGAGTTTTTTACTCTCTCATATACGGACTTTTTTACCTTGGACCTGACAACAACATTTTGGAAAGGTAAAAGAAAAATTATTTATGTACTAACTTATCACATCCATAAATGGAACATCCAGCCTCACATAGAGATTTAAAACGTAAACTCTTGTAACGTTGACATTTCAAATAAATCTTCGTCTACCTTTGTAAATTTTCGGCATTATTAGAAAAAAAATTCTTACATCACGCCGGCTGACCTTGCAGATGGCTGAGCCCGGCTTCGTTGATTATTTGATCGGGAGACGTCGGTTAGGTGTCATCACGTGCGGCTGGGGTGGTGTCAGTAACTGCTGTGGAGGGCTAAGGAGCTCTCAAATTCCTTTCGACTTAGAAAAAACGCATATTTATCGATTAATCAGACCTTCACAATTAAATTCAAACAAATACGATCACGTGAATTCATTAAAAAATATAACATTTGTGACTGAATAAATAATAATGAATTTTAATGATGATGAACTTGGAATATGAACGAAATTCAAATTTGCAACTTGAAAGTTGAATACCAATACCTCATTGTTTTTTACTGTCTTCCTATAGTTTTGTACTGTCTTGCTTATGGTTTTGTACTGTCAAGTGTCTATCAAGTATCAAGTCAGACTGTCAGACTGTAGTGAGTGTAGTCCAGTAATGATTAATGTTACCTACTCCTAGAGGCTAGTCCTAGTCTTAGGCGCCCACAGGCGACAGGCCCAGTAGTCAGTACTAGACAGTAGGCTACCGCTACACTGCCTAGCTTATACACACTACTGACTACACTGTAGGTACTCGTACTTAGTCTTACTGCTAGATAGTAGGTCGCATTTATTGATTAAGGAAGTTACTGGTCGTGGGGCTCTTAGCCTCCTATACTAGGTAATAAGTATACAGGCTATAGGCTATACTGAGTAAGTATAGTATAAGTTCCGTCCTATCACTATCAGGCTATCACTTTTCACTGACTTATGCTGCATATTGTAATTATCAATCTCAGGCACTCAAATTAGCAGATCCTTGCTAAAATGATATGATTCATATGAAAAAGTTATTTTTTTTACTATTTTGCATTTTTAAAATGTTTTGGAATTGATAATATGCCCTTTATTACTCTTATCATCGTATGTCTTGCTTATTTTTCAGAAAAGTATCATCATACCTAACCAGATTAGGCTATGCAGTCTAATTTTCTACAATCCAATCTGGATTCTGGAATAAATATGAAATACTTATTTCTTAGGTGATTTTAGGAAATAGCTGGCATTTGGCAAAAACATGTCAATTTTATTTTTTATCAAAATAATTTATAAATAGTAAAGAAAATTCAAAGGGAATCTTTTCCTTAATGGCTTTATGAGCCACTACTAACATTAAGGGAGAGTTTCCCTTACACTTTCCTTTACCATCATCATCATGAGTTTATCATCATTAATTTTGATATGTGTTTCTTTTTCATAATCTAGATTGGAATCTTCCCATCCCACTTATGATTATGATTTTATGAATAAAATATCACAACTCCAAAGTTACCTATTTTTTAAACACTCAGAATCTCTTGGCTTGATTATACAATTTTATTAATAGTTTGATACCAGATAATTCACCTGGGGGGGGGGGAATCTTCCAGTATCAAAAATAATTGGAAACTAGTTGCAGCACGAAAGTTGAATGGCTGACATTTTCCAGGCCAGGTTTCATTTATGGGTGGCTTCTGCCTAATTTTCCACCTTTGTTCACATCCATGGCCCATGGGTTTAGGGCAGCATGGAATAAATCCTCCTTTTAAACCTAACTAAAACTTTCAAACCATTTGAAGCCACAAGTTTCCTATTAGATGAATGAGTGAATTATATACCATCTAATGGGGTAATATGGGACTGGTGGGGTAAATCAAGACAGTCCTCCATCATTTCATAGCAATGTTGTTAGTGTTGTCGCAGCTAAACTAATTGAAACATTTCAAAACTACAAATAATGGCATAAAGTTTAAAATTTTTCCTATCTATGTAGTTTAAAGCAAGTTAAGAAACCATTCATTTACTACCTCTAAAAAATCCCTAAAATAAGTGTGAACTTGTGAAGAGTGAGATTTTGGAAAAGTACTGTACCTCTGCTAAGGCCTGTAGCGAAAAAATGCACCATATTAAAAAAATTTTGTAGAAATAAATCATACTTTAGGTTAATTACTTTTCATTCTATGTTGCCCAGTGCACAATTCTATCTATGACATTCTATGCACAATTTTGTGATGGCCCATGATGCATTAGCTTTTCGTGAGGCGAAATTTTTCTACTGGGAGAGGTAGGATATTTAATTGAAATTCTTTGTCAGAAACCAATTTTTAGTGCATTTTCTCATTTATGAAAAAAAATGCACTATTGTGCTCGCCATGTCCGTCTGTCTGTCTGTCTATCCGTCCGTGACTTCACGTTTTTGTCAACGAGAACGTGCGCTCTATCACTCACTGCAGTGAGTACTGAGTTATATATTTTTTTTTTAATCAGAGCCTTTGCTAACCAAGGTTCTGTCATAAAGGCATTTTTAGGGGAGTCCTATATTACCCCCAGCCCCAGGTTGGTGTCCCTAAATACCCCAGCTTGCGGAAATGGTCACCATATTCCTTTGGGTTGAGGTACCCAAATTCCGTCAATGAAGTTTTGAAGCCAACACCTGTCTGCAATTTGTTTTAGCAAAATTTTATAATATGGCAAAAAAAAATTTTACTACAGACCTTAACAGAAGTAACTTTTCAAGATATTACTTTTTAACTTTTTTCAGGGATTTTTTAGATCTAGTAAATCTTTAATTTCTTAACATCCTTTATGCTGCATAGAAAAATTTTTGAAATTTATGCTACTAGTTTTAGGTTTGCAATATTTTGATTAGTTTTGCTGTTATAACATTTTTACGCCATGGTTGAAGCCTGTCCCTTATTATCCTGTTTGACAGTACCGGTACCATGTGCACTTGTTCAAACATTACTCTCCCTGAGTGCTGTTCTAATTTGTAGGTATAAATAACCATAATGATGGTTCACAGGCATGTGCATATGCATAACTTGTTTAAAATACTGTTCATAGTAAATGTAATGATGCAATTTTAGTCTAATGTCCTGCAGCATCTATGATGAAGACCAGTCTTTCAATAGGAAAAAAAACCTGGAATTCTGCTGGTGAAGTTGAGAGGAGGGGAGTTCACCCTTGCAACATTCAAGAGACGACTGGACAAGTGGTTGAGAAAGATCCCGGACTGTCCAGTAATGGGAAACTACCATCAGCAAGCGACAAGCAACAGCATCTTGCATCAGCATGCCCAAATGAGGGCTAATAGACGGAACACGTCCAACGTTACATCCGACGACGACTCGGAGACAAAGGACGACAAAGGCGGCGCATCAGCGTGACCGTGGACTGTGACGTCCTAAACTCGTCATAAGGTCATAAGTTGAATAGAAGAGGAAACTGAGGAAAAATTAAATGTACACAGCATAGAAATGCTCATCACAGAAACTTTATTTCTGATGTGGCTCCTCATTTTCTTTAATCCTAATTTATACATTTGCTTCTTTAAAATGTTGATGCAGTTCAAAATCCTGGAATAAGAATGCATTCAATGAATTGAAACTAACTTTTTGCTCCAAATAGTTGATTGATGTATTATATTCTTGCATGTTATCTGCAACTAAGAAATATTTACCTATGTATGGATCTCATTGTATGTTGTTTGTAGATTTGTACACACATTCTGATGCTTCTATGCTTTCCTTGCTGACTCAGGGAGTCAGGGTTGGCTTGTCTTTGTCTTCGCCAGTCTTTGTCTCAGAACTGAATGGAAGACATGTCCTTAGAAGGCATATTTTGAGAAACATAAAATTATGTTTCTCAAAATATGCCTTCTTTTTTTCAAATTTGAAAAAATTCTCAAGGTTGGGTAAAATGTTGTCAAATAAAATATGGTAATTATTTTTTCCAGCTAGAATGGTATTTTTAGTGATTAATATTTTGCTCCTGAACAGTTTCTCATTTCACATTTATGTACATATATTATACTTAAAGGTATAGGTACCTATCCTTGATTTTGGTTTTTAAAATTGTTTAACAATAATTCTGCATTTATTGCTTTTCCAATTCAGTTTGCATCATGTTCAAAAAGCATTGTGTCAGTGCATGGGAGGGTAACTCAGAGACTGTCAAGTCTAATGGCTGCAATATTGATTCTTTTGATGGAGCGGAGGAAGATTGGAGAAAGAATAGCAGTTTGCCACTGAGGACCTGGCCTCAAGATGTTGGCATTATTGCTATGGAAGTTTACTTCCCAGCACAATTTGTTGACCAAGCTGAATTAGAAGACTTTGATGGTGTGTCAAAGGTAAAGGATGTTATCTTCTTATAGCCGTGTCATTCTAATTTAAATATGGTTACTTGTTCTTGTTTGTTTCAATGTTGTACTATTGTACTAAACAGTTTTATCTATAACCAGGTAGAAGCAATGTAAAAGAAAGTAATAAAAATCTATTATGGTCTATTGAAATTATGATGAATTATTGCTATTAATGTTATTGTTATTTGATTGCTTTTCATTATTATTTGACTAATATCACTTTACAATTGTTTAATTTGTCAGTTGTTTGCAGGGCAAATACACCATTGGGCTTGGTCAAACTCGCATGGGCTTCTGCAGTGATTGTGAAGACATCAACTCTTTATGCCTCACAGCCCTTACCCAATTGATGGAAAAAACTGGTATTGGTAAGTTACAGATATTTTTACTAATGATCTATTTACATGTGGATATTCTATGTTGAGAATTACCTTCAGACTCTTGACCAGAAGTAAAATTCTGTAAAATTTTAATGTTATTTTAATCATTTTGAGTATAAATTCCAGGCTATGTGTAATGTTTTCTTGTATAAATCAAATAATTGTGTAAAAAATCTGCCTATGCTTTTTGCTTTCATGCATCATCCAAAAATAGGAATGAAATTCTAGAGCTAAATGTAACAAAGATTTTTTATTCCAGATTACACAAGTATTGGAAGGCTTGAAGTGGGCACTGAAACTTTAGTTGATAAAAGCAAGAGTGTGAAGTCATTTCTGATGACTGCGTTTGCAGCGTCGGGCAACTCTGATGTTGAGGGTGTTGACTCAACCAATGCCTGCTATGGAGGCACCGCTGCACTATTTAATGCTGTTAATTGGGTGGAAAGTTCTGCCTGGGATGGTAAGGAACTATTACAATCAATTAATTATACTGTTTCTCCATCTGATACTTTGAATTGGGTATGAGTTCTGCATGGGGTGGTGAGAAGTTGCTGTTCCTCTTTATGATGCTGCCGAGTGGGTGGAGAGGTGGGATCTTGAGACCTGACCATTTAATTCATTCTCTAATGCTTTTCTTTAATTGTGGAATTTGGTTCGTTATTGTAAGGAATGCATATATATCCACTTCTACAGTTCCTAGCCTATGCTCTCGTTCAAGTCTTCTAATTCTCTGCACCAAATTTTCATACCGGTAGTTCAGTAACTGTTCAGGTTCATAATATAAAATTAAAGATTGCATTTATAGTGCATATATATAGGAAATATGATTTATGTCAGTGGTTCCCAAAGTGGGCGATATCGCCCCCCTAGGGGGCGGTGGAAAGATTTTGGGGGAAGGCGTTTGGGGGGCGATAGGGGGGCGGTAGTTCGAAGTCAGAAGTTCGAACGTTTGTTTGACGATTTGTACGCAACACGTGCAGCACATCATGACACCCAGCGATGGTTTTTTTCACCCAGATCAGCTTTTTTAACCTCTCCTGGGTTTACGTCTCGGACAAATTAACGGCCGGATTCACGGCCAATTTCCAATTCAATGTTCAAGTAATATCTCTCAGACTCTATATCTAATATAGAGTCTCTATATCTCTATCTATCTCTATATCTCTATATCTATCTCTTAACACGATGAAACTTGGTACACGTATTCATTAGGACCTAACGTAATGTTAAGCTCGTGAATTTTTTTATTTTGCCTTCATTTGTTTTTGCCATAGTTATGGCAATACTGGCCGAAATTCACATTACCGGGTAATAAAAAAAAATTTCAAACTATTGAGCAGATTCGAACGAAATTTTGAATTTACAGTCCTAACTACCGAACGTTAATGAAATGGAAAGGCTCATGAAAATTTATTCGATTGTGCCTTTGTTCTCGAGTTTTTTTCCATTTCACTTCCATTCGTGATTTAAACAGCAATACGTGCCTTAATTCGCAGTAATCAAGAAATTCCTTCCAAAACTACTGAATGGATTTGAACGAAACTTAGTACTTAAATACCTAACCTCAGCAACGGTGATGTTTAGCTCGCTACAATTTTTTCGTTTTGCTTTCGTTTGTGAGTTATACGGCTATACGTATACGGATACACGTAAACGGCTCTTGGTTAAACCGGCCGGTAGAAAAGCCGGTCGTTCCTCCTATATCTGTATAACTCGCAAACGAAAGCAAAATATAAAAATTGTCGCGAGCTAAACATCACCGTTGAGAGGTTAGGTATTTATATACAAAGTTTCGTTGAAATCTTTTCATTAGTTTATAAGAAATTTCTTAATCGCCGCGAATTTAAGCGACAAGTTATCCGGCGATACGGGCTGAATATAAGGAAACGTGAAATCAAGAATGACTGTGAAATGAAAAAAAAAACTCTCAAACGAAGGTAAAATCGAAAATTTTTAAAAGCAAAAAAAAAATTATCGCTTGGTATTTAGGAATGCATATTCAAAATTTCGTTTTCACGAGCTAAAAATCAACGTTAGCTTCTGATGAATATATGTTCCAAGTTTCCTTGAGCTGCATTCATTAGTTTGGGAGATATTACTTGATAATTGAATTTGGAGATTGGTCGTGCGACTGGCCACGAGTCCGGCCGTGAATTTGCCGAGACGTCCTAGGTTTCTAGTGCTGAAACAGTTAAAACAGCTTAAAAACATATTGGTTCACTAAATGGGGTTCTATTTGTGAAATACACATATGTGTTTAACATTTATCTATTAAAATTGCAGCTTAATGAATTTCAAGAAAGTAGCATATGTTTTTATATGTGTCTGTGGGGGCGCTAGAAGTTCACTAGGGAGCCAAAATGGGCGCCAGCCTGAAAAAGTTTGGGAACCACTGATTTATGTTTTATGCTCCCTATCAATAACCTGCAAGATGGATTTTTATGAGGACGAGAGATATTTGATCAATCATGTGATTAACTGTGCTACTGGGTCAATATTCTAAACTCGCATATATATACCTATAATTAATATAACGTGTGCAACAAATCTTTTCTCATTTTGAATCTAAATAAGGCAGTGATGATGATGATATCAACAAGAAACAAGTTGCAATTGGCCTGATTGACACAAGCAATGAGAAAATTTAAGTAATATCATTAGGTACGTATTCAAGATAAGATAATATTTTAAGTAAACCAGTTTCATCACCAGTAGTCTTTTTTTCTTGTTGTTAATCAAAATATTTGCAGACTAATTTCCTGCAATTGTTTTGTCTTATGAATAAAAGTTGTACATGAGTTTACTTGAGTTAAGATCCTGTTGATGACGTTACTTCAGGCCGGTATGCAGTGGTGGTGGCAGGAGACATCGCCGTGTACGCCAGCGGTGCGGCCAGACCCACAAGCGGTGCCGGTGCCATCGCCATGTTAGTTGGACCCAATGCCCCACTGGTCCTCGATCGCGGTCAGACGTTCTACATATATTGTTAAAACATTTGTTTTCCGCACTTTTCAATACATATTAAGTTTATCCAAGTTGAAAACAATACTGAAATAATAAAATTTATGGAGGACCAATTTTTATAATAATTTTTTGTGAACTTTGGCATCTTTACCATAGGAGTACGCAGCAGTCACATGAATCACAGCTATGACTTCTACAAACCTGTGATGAGCTCAGAGTATCCTATTGTTGATGGCAAACTTTCCATCCGATGCTACTTTGCTGCCCTTGACTCATGTTACAAGACCTACCTCTCCAAAGCTCGCAAACATCTCGGTGAGTCATGTTTCCATTTATTGTAGTCCATGTCATTCAGAGCAGTTCACTGCCATGGCAGGCGTGATCAGGGTTGGCAATGATTAAATCAAAATGATTAAATCATGTGATTAAATCACTTGATTTTTTTATAAAAAAATCATGATATTTTTTATNTTTATTTTTTTGATTTAAAAAAAAATCAAAAAAATCGCCAACCCTGGGCTTGATTCGTCCACTCCTGGTTGCATTTTTCTCTGAAATGATTCAGCTATTCCAAGCACGGTCAGAATGAATATAAAAACCATCAGTAGGTACTTTCGAAGCTCTATCGAAGCTTGATGCAACTCGGATCCATCATCTTTGATTTGTTCTGCAGGCAATAAAGTTATTCTAGTGTCAAATTAAGGTGTTTCTTGCAATCCTATTGTCCACTTCTCAAGTCCAGTCCTTTATTTACAGACGAAGAAGTGAAGAGCTTGGCTGACTTCAAGGCTGTTCTCTTCCACACTCCGTACTGCAAACTAGTCCAGAAGTCGTTTGCTCGTCTTGCATATAATGACTTCCGCTGCCTATCTCCTGAAGCTGCAGCAGCTCTTCATCCTTCACTTACTGCTTTCAGGTTAGTTATATTGGTGAATTTTCTTGACTCTTTTCCAGTATATATGTCTTCTTGTTTATTTTTACGTATAGTTTTGCAATTGTAACTCAAATGAAATCTCAGACTGTGCTTTTTTCAAGATCCTAAATTTTAATTCTAAATTAAATATTATTTGTGGTGCCGTTTATATTTGTAGTGCAGTTTATTTTATATCTTCTATGCACGATTTTCTTATTTCTTGTGTTGTTCTCAAACCAATTATAGACGAATCAGTTCGTCAGAAATATTCTTTCTACCTGGGCAAGAATTGAAAGCATCTTGTATTGTGCTTGATTACAAAATAATTTCGAGTAAAATACTTATTGATCGTTACTTTGTAGTATAAGAAATCTTTCTTACTTGATGTTAAATTCATTAGAGAAAAGTAAAGGTACTCATAAGAAATTGCTATTGCAGAGATTTGCCACTTGAAGATACTTACTTCAACCGTGATATTGAGCAAGCATTCATGGCATCAAGCGAAGAAGCTTTCCTGACGCAGACCAAACCATCGCTGCTGCTGGCAACTGAAGTGGGCAACATGTACACGCCGTCGCTCTATGGCGCATTGGCTTCCTTCCTTGCCGGGTAACACAGCTGGCATTTCCGAGTGCACCTCACAAATTCTTCTTTGAATAAGTTCTCTCTTGTAGCTTTGTTGATATGAATCAATTGGCCCGTATGTATAGATTCTCAATTTTATTCAAATTTTGTATCCATAAAGCGAATCATTTGATTTTTTACAAAATTTGCTTCATAATAGCTGCTGAAAATCACCAGCTTCTATGTCATGATCAGTTTATAGCTGTTGATCAAGTTACTATACTTTAATGTGGGAATATGAATGCATTTGTTTTTTCTTTTTCATTGCCTCAGTATCAACTTCTAATAATCATTTCTGTTATTTAAATATCATTCTCTTGTAATGCATAGAAGTAGAAATTCAGGAAAGTATGCCTTTTCCTGAATTAGTATGCAATACTTGTTTTCCTGAATTGGTATGCAATAGGTACTACTAATTTCCATGATTAAGCATGCTATACTAATTTCCCTGAATTAGTATGCAATACTAATAATTTCCATGAATTTGCATGCTATACTAATTTCCCTGAATTAGTATGCAATACTAATAATTTCCATGAATTTGCATGCAATACCTACTAATTTTCCTGAATCAGCATCCAATACTAATTTTCCTGAATTAGCATCCAATACTAATTTTCCTGAATTAGTATGCAATACTAATAATTTCCATGAATTAGCATGCAATACTAATTTCCCTGAATTAGTATGCAATACTAATAATTTCCATGAATTAGCGTGCAATACTAATTTTCCTAAATTAATATGCAATACTAATTTCCTTGAATGTGCATAGACCAACAGATTGAATTTCCTTATGGTCGTCAGGTACTCGGCCGACCCTGACTCGCTGGTAGGCAGTCGGCTGTGCCTGTTCTCGTACGGCTCAGGCTTGGCCTCGACCATGTACAGCATCGTCATAAAATCTGGCTTAGCTCAGCAACGTCTGGGGGCTGATGTCAGATTACCTTCTAGCAATGGACAGGCAGGTTGGAGTCTGTCACAGTTGGTGTCTTCGCTGTCTGACCTGCAACAGAGACTTGCGTCGAGACAGAAAGTGCCGCCGCAAATCTACAGTGACATCATGAAGCTCAGAGAGTCCACGCATCATTTGGGTAAATAAATTCATTATCTTTCTCGTTGCTCTGTTTCATTATTTCGTTTCCATTATTCTCAATGCCTTTCAACTTATATTTTGTCCATATTCAAATCAGAAATATGGCTCAATCATACTTTGGGATGCGAGTTTAAAGGTTATTCGCAACTCCCTGAAGCATCGGAGAGCAGAACGTTCTGACGCATCTCGCCCAGCTTAATCTTTTCTGACACAATTTCATTTATCACTAACTTTTTGCAAAAGACAGATTAATTTGTTTCATTGTTGAAGGAGAAAATGTTATTCTTAGGTTAGAGTTAATTACATGGACAAACATTATAGGTCCTAACGGTATAGTATTGCGGAATTACTCACATTATTTGGCAACCTTACATTTTTGGATAATTAATTCCCTGTATTTTGTGTCAGCTCCATACAAGCCCGTGGGTTGCACCAGCTCTCTGCTGCCCGGCACGTGGTACCTGACGTACATCGACGACCTGCATCGCCGTCAGTATGAACGCGTCCCCCGCAGCGCCTCCTCCTCGGCAGGCGCTGGCGCCACTGCCACTCGAGCTGCCGCCGATATCACCGGCGCTGAAACGGCTGCAAAAATTCCCAAATGCATCGAGACGAATGTTTTTGGTGTAACTCAAGCGTTAACAACAGAAATTTCAGAGGCTAATGCCACCGCTAAAGTTGCCAGTGAGGCTCCAATTTCTGCTTTGACACAAGCGTCGGCAGCTGTTGTCGCGGCAGCGGTCCGGACGTGATCTCGTTCTGATCGGCGCATTGAATTATCAATTTTTAAATTTTCCTTGATTGCCCCGAAACAGAGAACAGAAGGCAGCTTTCAATATGTTGTTTTTGCACCGTCGCAAGATATGGTCCATGAGTTTTAACTGCGCGCGTTCAACTTTGGCTATGCCCGCTTCTCAGCTATGCATCGCTATTAGTGTATATTTTCATTCAATCGGCAGAATTGTACGTTTTCGTGTACATAAGAGATAAAAATATCAGAAATAAGTGCTTGAATCTGACTTGGTCGATCTTTTTGTTATATTTTAGTGTACTAGAATAATTTGCATGCTAGCTTACTATTGCACGTCGTCATTGTTAAATAGCAGCAAAATCAAAGTTTTTTTCTGGTCTACACTTCATGAAGCTTTTGTTTCATCTTGTTGCTCTAGTCGAGTATTTTCGCTTAGCTATATTCTGTGATACTTTGAAGCTGTACTCTTCTGACGAGGCTACGTAGATCTTTACCGTTCATCTTCAGGCATTGCTGGTCGAACTCCTCCTGAGTCCTGACTTACATACTGCGGCCTTTCCAGCGATTACTTTTATTAGCGGCAGTTCGTTATCACTAGTCTTCTTTCAAGTATGAAAACAAAAATTGTCTATTTGAGTATGACTGAAAATAGTGTTCGTTTGAGTATCTAATACGATTGCTAGTATTTTTGTTTGAGTTTGATCGGCGATGTGTTCAATTAATTGAATGTCTTTTCAATTACAGAATCACAACTTTGTCACTCAATGAAAATTTTAAGTTTGTTCAGTTGCTTCGAACACAATTCAGTTTAAAGCAATGATTCTGAAAGGTCGAATCAAAGCTTCAACAATTATTGTTTTGTGAGTTAGAAGTATTCTTGTTAGTTAAAGATCGTGATTATATTTTTGATGTTTACTGCATCTTCACCAAAGTCATTTGCAGGAAGTTGCCGTGGGCGGAAATCGATCTGAAACCGTCGTCGGCTCGTACTGTGCAGCCTAGACGACGTTGTTCTCTATTCATTCTATTACATATCTGCGTATCAAGCAATATATTCTCTTTCCAGTTTTATAGAATTAATGAGTATGAGATTTATTGGATTTCACCGCTGATAGAGATTTTGATGTGGACCAATTTTCCTAATAGCTTTTATTTGAGTTTGTAGAGTAAAAGTGTAGCCTCTCAACACCTGAACTTTCCATTGTTTTTAACACTAAATGGAAGGCACATTATTGAAGGCATTCATTATATTGAAGGCATTGATGAAGAAATTGAGACGCTGATTCGTGAGGCCTCCATTCCTGAGATGTGTACTAATTTACTTAACTTTTTTTTCAAACATGCAAATACCTTCATTGTGTATTAAACATCTAAATTCTGTCAAGATGTTCCCGACATGAGGATTAGGGAGCATAACTTGTGACTTCGAGTAATTTTTATCAAGCTGTCCTGGATTTGGGAAGAAGTTATATCAATTTGAGTATTTTTTAAATTCTTTTCATTTGACATAATCTTGTGCTTAGCTACTTATGTTTAGGCATTGAATTTGAAAGTTTTTGGTTATAAATTCAACAATTATCTACTCTATATTATTTTCTGATATTCTCGTTTTTAGTTGGGACAGTTTAGTTGAATTAAAAGTATCTGATGATATAAAAGCAAATTTGAAAAAGGTTTCATCAATTGAAGCTCCTTGTAGTGCGCGTATGAACTCGACTCAGGGCCAACTATCCCCAAAATCGTCAAAATAATGCACAGATATTGAAAAATTACACGCACATGCTTCTATAACTGGGTGCTGAGTTTCCTGTTCAAACTCCCTACACTAATGGTATTACTAGTTCTCAGAGCGAACGTAGTCGATTAGATGTCAGAATAATCAACGTGAGCCGACTATTTTATCTACTATTCCGTTTTTTATAGGCATATTACACTAAGTTTTCACAAGCAGCACTTGTAAATAGTAATACCATGACTGTTTTCGTTGTATACCATCAACGAGCCAAGATGGTTTTGAAGTATTAAAAAATAACACTTCAGACCGTACTTATCTGCTGATGAACTATTTAGTCGTAGTCCATTTCCTGCGTGTGAACGCAAGTGTGTCTACATACTGTGTAGCGCGGTGCTCACTAAACTTGAATACTCAAGGCACCCTGGCGGTGTGCGATGTCCTGATTTTGAATCTGAGGCTGAATCTTTTTCCTTTATTCCTACTTTTATATCTCTCAAAAGTTACAAATTTGTTATTCGTATATTGGTGATTCTGGATCCGCAGAATTTTCTCCGTTTTCTCCCTGAACGCCGTTTTCAACGTTATGGAATGCACTTAGGTTAATTGTATTTTTAAAGCCTGCGAATATTTCTTTTCCTTGAGGCGATCTATACTCAAGGAAAAACTGCGGTTAATCAATAGTCAAATAGTCCTTCATAATCGTTATTTTCGTCTGAAAATTTCAAAATTGCATTTGTTTATCAAATTTTATTCATGTAGTTCATGTTATGGACTGACAAGTTATTCATGTGACGATTGGAAAGTTGTATTTGTTCTTCAAATATTATTTAGGTTGTTCATGTGATAAACTCCTTGGCGGAGTTCTAAAGTGAGAAGGGGCCAGTATATCTGCATTTCTGTCAAGTTTTTGTTAATAAACGTGCGTTCAGCAATGTTTCTCGCTTCTCCCCCTCCCCCCCTTTCTGAAGGATGACGAGGTTATAGCAAATTGTAAAATTAAAAACTAAGACACTATTAAAGGCAATGAGCGAATTTTACCTCCGCTGCATGCGGGATAACGCGAGAAATATCTATTTTCACTGTTTTTGAAGGATGGGAATAAATCTTTAAATTGCAAAGATCGTTCAGACTGAGCAGAATGATGTCATTAAGTTGACGTGAGTGAAGTTGACGTGAGTGTTGCCGTAGAAACTCGGGAGCTATGCCGCAAAGATCTCCATTGAGAGTATATATCCATTATTGATAGTCTATGACGGCGATTGATCAGCTTTGTCTCATCGTAGTTACTGTGTCCTTGCATGACTTGATCCACATTACCGTGGTTAATCGGTTTACAAGGCGAAATTATCAGCGGAGATTCAATAATCCACGCCCACTCATTTCGTAAAACGTTTGCTCCTACGATTGATTGATTTTCATTTTTAAGTGAATTTCAGCGCTTTGAAGGGCCTTTATTCAGAGCGATAAAACCCAACAAAATTTCGATTGCCACATTAGCGACAAGCGCTATGGTAAAACTTGGGGAACTTTCTCGGAACCGTTTATTATTCTTGGATAAATAACTAATAACTAAAACCTGGGTCTAAATATTGGTTCGAAGGTTAACGCTTTTAATATCTATCATTGTCCCTTCGAGGTAACAAGTAAGCAGAAACTTGTCCTTTTATTCAACTGTACATGTTTCGCAATGCATAAGACCTGCGGTAGATAAGATAATTCATCATGCTTATATATCAGCACGGGATTATAATAGTAACAATGAATAAAATTATGAGGCTGTAATCTCAGATGAACATCACGTCAATTGAGCGCATGCACCGGTTGGTAAAATATTCCTCACAAAATAAACTGATTACAAGCGCTTGCAACTGATAAAGTAACACTAAAATTCATCATCGTCCTCGAACCCGAAATTGATGCCAGGCTCATCGTCAACTTCTTCCAGTTGGCAGCGATCTGCAGTTGCGTGAGAAGCCGTGGCCCCGAAATGCTGCGCGTCATCTGATTTGGTTTGTTCTAGCTCGCTGAAGGGCGCCGCGTGAATATCGATAACAATTTTGGTTTCTCCTTTTCCATCATTGTTTTTATATGCATTTTCTACCATCTGTCCCGTGACTGGGGAGTCTCCAGGTACATCGATCAAAAGACCTGCTCTAGCCAATTCGGCGGGGGTTTCGAGACTGATGATTTCTCTTATATTTTTGTCTAGGCGCTGTGGTTCATCAGTGACAATTTCGTTTGCGTCATCTTCGGTCGAATGAACGTCTTCATCGATGGTGCCAAGTTCGCTGAAACGCATGCTTGACTGCCCCTTGTCTTCCAAGCGCGGCGGCTTCGGAGGACCAGCGTCCGCATCTGTAGCATCGTAGGCCTGCAAGAGTTCAGGGGGTGGGAGTTCTGTTAACATCTATGAATTTGTCATTTAACATTGAAATGAAGTAATCGTGTTCGGTCATGATGTTTTTATCCTTTTCATAAACTACTAAATGTATCTTGACTGATCGAATTGAATCTCGAACAAAGTAACTACTAACAACCACTCGCGTTCTACCATGTCGGAATGACGACTTTCGGTGAAACCAAACTTTGGTACCTTTTTTTGCTGTGCTGTAGTTAGCTAGAATTCACGACTGTTCAAAGGCCTTTTCTCACACCTAAAACAAACGTTACTGCGGGAAATATTATTTCGAATTAAGATCCTGAATAAACTGCCTCAGCAATAATATTTTGCCGGATTAATCTTATGCAACAAACTGTCACCTTCTTCTCGGCATGCGTCATGTGCATGAAGGCGCCGTACATTGGGTTCTCGACCTCAGCAGTGTCCCCAGCTCTTCCTGTCGCGGCGTCATCACACATCCCGCCTTCAGGGTCAATTGGCATAGCAGCCAGGGACTGTGAACCCAAGTGCAAGGTCACATGTACTGCTAGTCAACATTAATTATTGCCATGTTCACTTTATCTCTGCTTCACCATTATTGTTGCTTTGCAAAACAGGGTTTACAAAGTTTCAAAAGGATGCATAGTGAATTAAAAGCATTTAATATACGCCAATTAAGATATTTGGAGATGAAATTGTCTGATTTTTTCTATTTGAATTTGATCAACACCGTATGACATAAATTTACATTCAATTAATTTTCTCTGTTATACTAGCGGTAATCTTGCCTCTAAATAGTTGATATTATCATATTTGCAGCTTTCATAACATCTCCATACATGAATTCGTTCTCTTTCATACATCGCAGCCAGAAAAATTTCACCGAAATCAGCAGTTCCACGTAGAGCAGACCGGCTCAGTGCTTGGACCAGCAAGGTGCAATGCTCACCAAAATACACTCACCTTTTTATAAAAGCTAACTATCACCGAAACTATAATCATAAATTGACACAAAATGTTTCCTGAAAAATATTTTTGAAATAAATCATTTGTTAACTTTACTGATCGTAATTCAGCGTTGCTCAGTTCTCCATTATTTGATGGGCCAGTTCACACCGACAGGTCGCTGCTCTTAAAAAATATTTGCTCGGTCACGACCCGTAAAGCCCATACAGAGTGGAAATTTCCAAGAATCAACGTATCCTGTGCTTAACTGACCGCAGTTGACTTGCTGAAGACAGGATTCATGAAGCGCAGACCGCCGGACTGAACGCTGTAGGTCGGAATGGGGCCTGACATGTCAGGGGTCCTGCTGCTCGGAGCGTCCGAGGCCCGGCGTGCGGACAGCGCGTCGGCGTGCAGGGAGATCCGCGATAAGCGCCGTATCGCCACCATGCTCATCCGCCGGAACTGGAAACTTGCCGGCGAATTTTCTCGAAGTAGAGCTCTGAATTCCACAATAATTGATTATGTTAGCTTTTATTTCCGATGATAATGTCAATGGTTTTATAGCCATGAAGCTTGAATATGTATGCTAATGTTCCCGGGAGATCATAAGGTATCTCGAATATTATGTTTGATTCTACTCTGAATCGTTTACACTCACCACATAACTTTGCGGGGAGCAGTTTTCGTTACTTTTTTCCATAGAGATTTGGGTCTATTGTTTTTTTTTTACCTTAATTTAATTCAAATTCTGAAATTATAGGCTTCATGCAACAAATTTTATTGCTCAATTGATTAATTATTAGATTATATGCATTTAAGAGTGACTTTTCTCGTAAAACTGCAATTATTTGTCTGAAGAGAAAACTCCCGCACCGAACATTATCCGCGTATCCTCTCTTGTGAACGAAGTAAAGCAGGAGCGCCACGAGCACGATGATAACAATGGCCGACACCAGGCCTCCAGCAGAGCTGCTCCCAGACTCCGTCTTGTAGGCGCTTGCGCCTGCTGCTGATTCTTCCAGATGTCCATCGCTGCCCACAGCTGCAATTTCGGTGATTTCAAGCATAAACATTTAAAAACAAATTATTACAAGGTTCTTTATACATTTTACGGGAGTGAGTTCTTGCATTCAGTGAAACACCGTTTTTTTATTGAAAAGTAATGTTCCGTGCCTTCAAAACAAATGGCACATTGAAGATATTTTTAAATATCAACCATATCAATCATCTCTTTTATGTTTTTCATGCTTCTGGTTTAGGTTCGAATTTCGCAATATCAGTTATGCCTTTCCTACCTCTGCTTTTATTTTGAAATTCGCAATATTCGCAATAGTAAAGCACGAAAAGGAAAAGAATTGGCGACAGGCCACATCAGGCCTACACTTCAGCGCCGAGATCACTATGTTATGTTAATATCAGGCATAGATCGTTCAGAAGCCAAGTTTCTGTTCTGCCTATAGTCTCTATTCATCTCACCTTGTTGCAATATCCTCCTGACAACCTGAGCAGCAGCCTCGTAGTCCCCGTCGCGCTCCCTGGCCGCGAGCAGCACATGGTAGCTACCGTCACTCATCAGGCCTGAGAAGCGGGCGACTCCTCGACCCGCCTCTTCAACGTCCAGAGCGCCCAGCAGTCCTTGCAGGTGGCGGCCCCCGCCGCTGTATGAAGATGGCAGTTTGAAGTCCACTCCTGCACGCCATTAAACTGCGCTCAATGTTTAAATTTTTCAGTTGCTCGGTAATATGAATGCTGATTTGGCCTACAGTTATGGCTTGTTCTGTGATGATAGTGAATCAATCGTTTGCGAGTGATGGCATCATTCCATGATATCCGTCGAGTCTTGGTACCTTGGTCTCCTTCTTACCAATGTCATGCATTCGAGCATAAAATCGTTCCTCCGGCGACAGTGTCATAGTGAATGGTATTATGAATGTATACATGAAACTACCAAATGGTGCTAGGCTTAACTTACGTTATAGAAAATAATTTAATGAAACTCTGATTTGTTGAGATTTTATTTAAAATTTACCACACCTTTTCCTTACACGGGAAAGGTATGGTAAATATAAAAAAGGTGTGGTATAATTCCTAAGCCACACCTTTCCCTAACATGGGTTTCAAATTATTTAAATTAAGTGAAATTATACAAACGAAATTATATTTTAAGGGACATTTAAAACCACGAAAATTAATTTATATTATTATCAAACCTACTTACTCTTAACTCACCACACTGAGGACAGCAGAAATCCTGCATTCTAATAGGATTCTCACACATGGGCTCGGGGCACGGGAGTTGGCGGTTGGTGCAGACCTGCTCGTTACAAAAACAAATGTGCTGAACTCAACCAGAAACTAAACGCAAGCACATGCATGAGCGTTCCGCATGCATTATTATCATTGACCATTCAGTCGAGGTTCTCTTTCTTTCTGGGTTAGTTGATTTGATAATTACAACAGAACACTTGGCTACTATATAGGGAAATATTACGAACTAAATTCGTGTTCGGTGTTTGAAGCAGAGCTAAAATTATTGCCATCCTTCCTGAAGCCTGAACAACGATTATTAGCATACAAGCCTTTTCATGCTGGCCTGACTGTCAACGTGCAAATCTGACTACAAACAAAAACGCTTCAGAAGCAATTGTAATAAGTTTAATTGAAACAACATTCAGATAAAGCCGATTTCCCGAGGGCCTCAACAAGAATTGTCTGAGAACAAAATGTGATCATAAATAAATGATATACAAAAAATTTTTACTCGCGTATAGTCACCACTCTAGCGACGTCTGCAGCGTCGTTGCACTGGCAGTCTCGGCCCTCAGAACACCGCGGGTCAGCCTCGGCGTAAAGCAAGACGCCGCCATCAGCTGAGCTGCCTGTCAACTGCCCTGACACGTTGCCTGATGCGTAGTCCAGCAACCCGGAAGTTGTCAACGTCTGTGGTTACAACGCATTTGTTGAGGCGCTTCATACGAGCTCGCAAAACTAATTTAATTTAATTAAAAGGTATTCTTTTATTCCTTTCTAATGCTTTTTGCTTCATTAATTTTTCATAACTTACTTATGTGTGAATTAAATGTATGATTCTCTACTTTTGGAAGCGTTGTTCGGGCCTTAAAGTTTTTTGCTGTTGAACTTGGAATTTCGCCTTTTTTGTCTGTTTCACTGTTTGTTGAATAATTCCAGTGACCATTTAATGCTTATTTTGATTCATTAAATAATAATATATTTCCTTTTTCAACAAACAATGCTTTGAACACCCTTGGCTACCCAAACGGAAAATTTCCCGAGTTCTACAATAACGATTAAAGGTTTTCCGCCGCTATCTGCAGAAATTTTACAAATAATTATCGAAACCTTATTATTATTATTATCGAAACCTTGAATTCATGATGCAATGTTCTGCCACGAATAGCTCATAAAAAAATTGACCTGGAAATTGTTCAATTTCTTATTAGCAAGCAAAGAATTTTTATCAGCTGCGAAAAATACAAAAACTGGAAATATTCACCTGCCCGTTGACTTGCACGGACGCCACTCTGACGGTAGGTGCGGTGAAGTGTATTGGTGAGAGGTACTTGGGAGAGGATCTCAGCACGACGGTATCTGTGGTACACGGCACCCTGTTCAGGTCGGGGATTGCGCTGCTGTTCAGGGTCAGGTCATCAGGCACCTGCCACGACAACGCGTCCCACCACTCGTCTTTGCTCGTGCGCGACCACGTCACTGAAATAAAGTTTATCTTTGCTCTGTTCGAACGGGTTTCAAATTGTATTGCTAACTAGCGCCTCAACCTCGGAACGAATGTTAATCTGATCGGCTAACGGTATAAAATCAAAAATCGGCTAACGATATCAATTGGGTAACGATATAACGAAGTAGACATTAAAGTGATGTGTTTTCATTCTAGTCAGCGTAATGTCATGTGCGTCACCGAAGTTGAATTTACGGAATATTTAACTGGAGACTGTCCGGTAGAGTTGCCGAAATTTCAGCTTTAAATATTCTCGGTGTTTTCATATTATTTTTTCATTTCACATTTCAGCATATTCATATTAGTTTTTTTATACTGTTAATCATCCGAACAGTCAGCTGATTTATATTAGAATACAGTTGTCAATGTTACCACTCAGTGAATGCAATGCATCTCGAGCTTGTAGCTCTGTGACCATAACGACTGTGGATAAAGGAATTATGTAGTCAACACCTCGTCATGGATAGAAATTTTAGCACTGGCAACATTTTTGAAAAGCTCCAGAGCTCTATTATAAAGAACAAAAAGTAAATGCCGAATCAGGCTCGAAGGAATAATAGTTGTACAAAGTTGACGCTACAATAACATTTTATTAAGCTTACGTATTTTGCAGTTGCCAGCACTCACACGTTTTCACTTCAGCCTTACAGTCTGAAGGCCTTCTCTTCGCACCCGCGGTGCCCACCAGGACACTGCCCCCCTCACCGAGCACAACCTCCCCACTCAGCGGCAGCGCGAGCCACTCAACGCTCAGCGAGGAACTCAAGTATGTCTGCTGAACCACAGACTTTAAGGTCAAGTTTGTCTCATAATCGAGCGGCCTAGTTCAGCAATTTTGAAATTACCGTCATTCCACAAAACCTAGTTCAACTATGCCTACCAAGAAATCAATTATGTAATTCATCAGCTCCTTCATTTATTAGTTTTCCTGGGCAAGAGTATTTGCATTTTTATCGCTATCTTAAGGTTAACAAGACGGTGTAATTGGATTTTACAACCGCCGTTGAACTTAAGATTATCGACAGAATTACTAAGATGCACCTCGTAATTCAAAGATGCAACTTGATCATTGATAATCCGGACATGATGACTAATCTCCAGTCAGTCCAACTTGAGATTTATTAAAATCTTTCTCAGTTGTCATCTTACTTCTTAAATTCGCGTCTTCCGATAAAAATACGCATCGATCGCCAATGTGGTAACGGTCTTAAGCGAACATATAATTCGTGCAGGAATTACTTTGATTTTCGACCGTAACGATCATATAATACCCAATCTCAACCAGTACCATATAATCCAGACGTTGCGGCATCTGGAGTCGCTGTCCAGGGCAGTGCACCAAGCCTCCCGACCAGTTGTCGTCATCGTCCAGGTTCCAGCTGCGTGTCCAGTGCTTCGTATAGGCCAGCGCTGCTCCCGAGCATGTCACCAGCCATGCTGCATGGGGTTGAGTTCGTTCATTCCTTATTCATCCTGTCATTCAATTACATAAATGTTTTTTAAATTCCTGTTTCTTAGTTCATTCTTTATTCATCGTGTCATTCCATTACATAAATGTTTTTTAAAGTCATGTTTCCTTCAAAGGCATTTATTGACTTAATGTGATTGGTCTCATCGATTATGTTTGTCGCTTATTGTAATAAAATCGAAACAGCTGATTTTCGTTTAATGAAATTTTGATTTTACTGCATTCAATATCAATTTTATCTACTTCCCTGTTCATTGACGATTTCGGTAAAAATAATGTTGCATGTCTAGAGAGCCTATTCCTTGTTATTATTAATAATATAAATTTATTAGAAAGGCTTGATTCGTAATATTTTTTTTGCTCTGTAATTGCTTTCTGCGCTCAGAAATTTTCGTAGTGAACAGGACCGCGTTCCGAACGTTGTAGATGAAATTTACTAGGATTACTCATTAATTTTTTAAATAAAACTTTTGTTTAATTTCACTGCCATGAAGCCCGTAACACGCACTATTACAATTGCACGCGGCAGGCTGCTAAAGTCTGAACTCGAGGAAAGCATTCAAGATTAAAACGAAACTAAGATCACTATTAGCATTGAAAAGACAAAATTTATCGTAAATACTTGAAATAAAATATAAATTAATTTCCGTCACCTGCGTAACACCAAAATTTCATCATGATCTAGCCGATGTTCACTGAACTGAGTCACACCGCTCACTGCATGAAGCAGCCTCGCACCGCGGCTTTGATGCTGCACACTCCAGTACTCGCCGAGTCACATTGACTCGTTTGCTGTACGGTTTTCTGGCAGTTTTCGCACACAATTCACCATAGAAATCATGTCCAATCTAAGGAACAGAGCTGTGGCATTCAACAAGCTGTGATGTGGGAATCGCAGAATAAAATAAATTTTTATGCTGTTTAGCTGTGAGAAATTTAATGGTATATAGTTTATTTATTATAGTGCTTAAAATTATCATGATTAATCATGATTCGAAATCTAAGTGGGTGTGGCGCCTCACTGATTACGCTCAGGAAATGAACGAGTGTAGTGAGGGAGCAGATCATTTGCCCGATCAATCGTGTATAATTTCCATGACACCCGAACACTATTGGCCATAAATTGTAGCCCATAGTTGATTACTGCTTTCCCGATAACTGAAAATAATATGGACAAAATTTTTTCCGAAATAGTCAGCGTCAGGAAGTTGACCTTCACAATTATTACTTATTATCCTTTGCATGAACGCGATCCATGCAGAATTCGGTACGTGACCATGCTGAGTGACCATGTTCATCATGTAATCAATAAAATACATAATTTAAGGTCTTTTGAATCAGCAGGAGATCATGGAGTCCCGCACAGAAAATATCCAAATCACGAGTAAGCCCTCGTGTGTGCCACGGGCAGAAGGCTACACGATCCGCGCACAGACGGTAACCTGACGCAGGGCTGACCGTCACCGGACACCAGCAGGGCCGCCATGTAGGCAGTGCCTGGTACGATGACATGCGCCTGACTATGCTTACGCTTTTGAAGCTAATTATTGATTTAATTTTAAAACAATTGTGCAGAGATATAATAATTATTAATTGAATACAATTGTGCAAAGTTATAATGACTGTGGTGTTGTGAGAGGCCAAGACACGGCCGACGGTAGCTTATTAGGCAGTAGAGTTAAGACGTATGACATTGACTATTGAAAATTGATAACATATTTCCGTTGACAGACTGAATAGTTTAATACCTACCACCCAAATTAGCTAGAGATGCCGAAAGCAACTCAAACTGAACAACTTGTTTGCATCTGCGATTTGTTCACCATTTCGCATGAAATGAGATAAGTCATTTTTAAGAGCATCAGCTTACAAGGATTAAAATTAATTTTTTCTGATTATCAACTATATATATACATAGGCTTTGTAGGTAGTTCTAAATTCCGAATTTCTAGAACAAATTAAAGTTTGAAAACTAATTACAACTTTCCATATTTTCCCATTAAGGAAAATACAGCGCTCATGATGCTGGTTCTACTTTTCTTGCTCAATTGGTAATTAATTGTAATTTTCTAATTAATCAGTGAAAAGGTGATGAAACATTTCGAACGAAGTGGTCACACGATTTTGACTATCCGATAAACTGCGAGAGAGTAATTAATATTAAACTGCGAGAGAGTACTGAGACTGTTTTATTTGGGGTTTTAGTATCATTGAAGACCTTTCTGGAAGTTTTTGCTTGAAAAATCATATTCTCATAGGGTAATAAATTCTACGCGAAGTTTGCAAAGTGATTTTATTTTCACACTTTACTTGATAATGACATTTTTTAACTTTCACTTCATATTTGGCAAGCAATTGTTCAGCTACCTCTTGTGAAAATTGTTCGAGTTGAGATCCAAAGTTCAGTCAAAGAAGAATATTTATATTCTGATTGCGAAATTGCTGATTGCTGCTGATTGCGAAATTGCTGCTGATATTTTCGTCTGCAATCTAGAATTCAATCACACACACGAGGTGAATTTCACTTGTTTTTTTTTTTTTTTTTTTTGCTTCTACAAGTCATATCTACAATTTCTTTTCATAAATTCGATTTAAGTTGCTGTTTTTTGCTTGTCGATTGTATAGTCCTGTAATCATTTGTCATTTTTAATATCATTATTATAGGGTGATAATGTTTCTTCTTGGGCAATCTTAGGATTACGCTCAAATATTTTCCAACAATTCTGATATAATATGCAAGCAGTATTATGTGATATCTTAACAAAATTCTCATATCACGATTTGATTCATATATTGAAACACTAAATAAATTGTTTCCAAACGAGAATATTTTGTGCAGAAATTATCTAACAGACCAACCACTTTAATTAATGTTAAATTTTATGTAATGCAACTCAACACCCGTTGTCATCCTTAACAATGGTTTGATTTTAACAAATACATACATCGTGTAAAAATGATCGTTAAGCTTGAGCAAGCAAGCATTAAGGTTCGCACACAATGTTCATTAAATCCTTACATGCATTGCTCTTGACTCGCCTTAAATCAAAACTCAGTTTTGATTTATAAATTAAAGGGATGATCATAAAATAAAAGGCGTTCTACCAAATTGGATTTAAACGCAGTTGTGCATCTTTGAAGCTCATACAAATAAGGAGTAAGTTGTGGAATCTTCTTTAACCAAGAAAGATATTTTGAAATTATGTTCTTGAAACTAACGAGTTACACTGGAACCTTTTGGAGGCCTGATCACATTTCACTTTATTAAGCAAGTTATTTGATCTTCATGGCGGGGGAATTTATACAAATGATTTGATGAAAATCTTGATTATTATATTTTAAACATTGTTCGTTATTTCGCTGCTTTCTACTAAATTTTAGCAGTAAGATATCTTTGCATGTTTAGAAAGGTTTCTATGATAACCTTCAATTTTTCTTAAATTTACAATGCTTACGCTCATTCCATACGTTCAATTTTGATTCAAAAATATGAATACGTTTAATATTTTGTTCAAATGAAGAAAATTTTTCACACATCGCATGAATTACAAGATTATCTTCAACGTTTTATTTGTCGCTTGTCCATCAGTCAGTAATGACGAAGCGGCCTGCCGGTGAAACCCTCCTCATCCACTGAGCTTACGCCACTCAGTCGGCCTCCTCGAAGCTGCCGGCCCCGCCCCTGCCCAGAAACTCCATCAAACTTCATCGCTTATGGGCTACTATCGTAGATCCTGCAGTAAGACATCCATCAAAATTTACGACGAAATTCAACTCCAGGATTGTTTTGTCATTCCCGACTAAAGCCAGAAATAGCTCACCTGGAGTTTGTTTAGAACGGAATTTGGTTTACAGCCCTGAAATGAAATTTGTCTTGCAGCTCCCAAATTCAATTATTTTACCAGGCATACAAAATAACGATAAAAAATTGTAGCTGATTAATTTCTTTTTTTATTACGATATTTTTTTTATTACGATATATGAGCCAACCTGTTGACATTAATTTGGGCGATCTTCAATGAATCATTGACTAATAATATTATATTTTGCATCGTTTTGTTTCAATTATTTCAGCATGCGGCGGTGATGTTGCAAGGACTGGTGTGCCGTCGGCATCATTTGTGACGTCTTAGCTCAGCTTCTGAACGCTTTACTGACAAAAACGTGTACCTATAGTAAGAACAAGCACTGTATTGTACTCATTTCTGCAATATTGTTTTACAGGGAAGATGCAGCAGCTAACAAAACGGTTACTTATAAAGTTATAGCATTCACTGGTTTTCATGTCGTAGGTGATTTTTTCAAATTTCGACTGGAAAAAATATTATTGACCAGGGGCAATATTGAGTCTGTAAAATCAGACTCAATTTAAGGATCAGGAAAGCAGCACTTTCAATTAGAACTAAAACGAGCCTTCTGAAATTAATCTTCGTAGATTGTTTTACGAGTTATTTTCATAAATCTAAAGGGTAATCAATTTGTTCGTTCTTGTCGGCTCTGTTCGGCTGATCCTATAAGAAGTGACTTTTATTTGTCTGTTTTGACAAATATTAATGCGCTAAAATCGGCAAAAAAATTGCATCTTTTTCTTTTGCATCTCAGTAAACAATCCAAGATGTTGAGGCTTTAATAATATGATAGTTGAGCTACAGTGAACACTATAAATAAATTATATTTTTTGACCTCATGAATGATGACTTGGTACAGACTTACTTGGCGCAGCGGTAGAGGTCAGGCTGCTCGACGAGCAGGCACAGCGCGTTGTCACTCAGCAGCAGAGACGGCGGGCTAGCTTCTGACCAACAATAATAAGTTAATGAATGATTAATGTCAGCTCAGAGAGTGCGGAAAAAATTGTGCCATGAGAAGAAAATTCATGTCTTAGAATTCTCTAACAAATTTCACCCGAGACGGAAGAGCATTTAAGTCCAAATAAAAAAGGTACCTGGACAACTTCTTAATTTGAAATCTTTGCCTCACGAGGGTGAAAAAGAATGCTGCTACTTCCTTATGAATGCGTGCCCTTGCGTGATTTTTCTGATACGTCGATGTGGCATGGTCAATGGTCATGCCAAATGGCTGTCATGATTCTACACAGGCTAGTGACTTTGTCTTATCTGATCTGCAGCTGGTTGATCAAAACAAAGCTTTGACAAGTTTTTTTTTTTGTTTCAGTAAAGTGACTTTAGCTCCAGATTAGCGTAATTATTTGAATGTAATTGCAATTTTTTAGCGAGCAGAACCATTGTCTATACTCTACAGTTCAACAAAGTTTTAAATTTTATAACGAATTGCTAACACGACTTTATCTTTTATTTATTAATAGGACTAAAATTTTCACAGATTTAGTTTTAAATTGAATTGAATATCTCATCTTCCATTCAACGTACTCAAACACAAATTTGGTGTTTGTGATCAGCCGTAACTCACCTTCTTCCGCGTTGTGCACCTGAGGGTCGGATCGTTTGCCGTATCGGGAGCCCGGGATGAAGCGGTTCGAGCGCGGCGTCAGCTCCAGCTTCACTCCGGAGCGCCCGTACCGGTTAGCGTAAAAGCCCGACGACCCCGACCGCGAACGCACTGGTCGAGGGAGCGTGAGAAACAGATAGGCAGTTATAATTAAACATAATTTCCTTCGAAATCATTTACCTGTTGTCTGTTTTGCTAATCTATTATTTGTAAAAAGGTTGAAGTATAAGGAAAATTGCAGGTTATTTAAAATCATTTGTCTCTGGAATTTTATGGAAAAATTTCTGCATTAATATTTTTAGAGACACTAACTCATGTTCTAACATTTCTGCTGGGGCGTATGCAGAAATGTTACGAAAAAACTAATGTTATAGTAGGTTAAAATTGAGGTCCGAACCGTAAAGTGATAGTGTTGTCGACAATTAACAGTGGTCAGTGTATTATAAAATTGAAGATATTTCTTTCTTCTAATTCATATTATAACAAAATAGGCAATTCTCACTTTCTGTTGCACTGCTAAACATTTAGAAAATATGTCACGTAGTAATAAATGACATAGCTAGCTGCATTCCATCAGTCTTTCATTCTTGCAGGATTAAATGCCTTTATTGCTCTTCGGATGGGCGGAATAGAATCCCTTAGCGGCCCTTTGGACAAGAGTCCGATATCAGAAAACATTCGTGTTTTATCGTTCCAACCAAATACCATAGGTCGCCATTATAAAGTTGATATGTCAGTCGCAATATTTTACTTCTCGCTTTATTCGGGGCTATCTTTAAAGAAGCACTTCGTGAGTATTTTAATTAGAGAATAACAATACAGTGTCTCTCGTACTAAATTATAAATATATTTGCACTTTACATACATTATAAGTGGGTTGCAAATTGAAAAATTATCCAAATTTAAACGTTAAAGACCGGGTCGTATTTATCGTTTTCTGTCAAAATTTATATCGTTTCGAAAATTCAAGAATAGATGTGATATTTGCGAAATTATGTTTGTTAATAAAATATCAACTCAAATTGACAATGCGTGGAAAACAAATAACTTTGTAACAAGTCAGAAAGTTTTGGTAATTTGCCAGATGAATACCGATTTATTTTATCTCATTTCATGAAGAAGATGATTTTGGATCTTAAGAGATTCTTTCGTGACATGCGCTTCTTGTTATGCTCGTATCAATTATTTTACCCAATCAATAAGGCGACGTGTGTTCTGAAGGAACTTTTCCTAATATCTATTTTAAGAACCTAGAGTTGCGTTGAGTGAAGGAAATATGAAGGACTATTGAACAATTTCTCCAATGTAATCGAATAGCATATTATAAAATCCCCTTAAGACCCGGTCGCAATTTTCACAAGACGAAGTGAGGTCAAAGCCTCCGGCGTCCGCTTATCAGTTTACCGGCGAGGTTGCAATTACGGACGATGGAAGAACTGCGATGTCCTGATTATAGGATTGGCTATTCGATGTAGCCCACTTCTGAGTATGAGACTACGGGTACCGGATCTGGGATCGGGAATTCATCAATGGATCTCCTCGAGAGAGATCTACGGAAAATAATGAAACGGCGTCTTAATTTAAGATTGTAGAGTCTCATTGAAAAGTCCTACAGGGTTTATTACCTAGATTGTCCGATTATTGGTGTAATGATTCAATACATTGAGTTATGTATTCAATGTAACTCAATTAAACATTTTACAGTCCTCATTAGAATAATTTGGACAGTGTATAGCCCTTATTTACTCTACTTGTTATAAAGACTTGACTTGATAACATTTACCTGTGATCCTGAACTGATTTTTTATTATGAGATTGATACCGAAGCTGAACGATATGTCGTTCACTCTTGTATTGATAATTACTCAGACTTCAGTTTGATGATAACACGTTGAGAAGACTCACCTGATTGTTGTGTGTTGCCTTCCCTTTTGCCATATCTGCTGGAGTAGAACTGGCCCTGGGCTCGCGCATGCGCACTGCACTGCAGCAGCACCAGCAGCACCACCAGCAGTGCCGCAACACAAGTCATAGAAGGCTTCATTCTAAGGTCTGTTAAAAATACATATTATATAACCCTATATTTAAACCATTTCACATCTCATAATAAGAACAAATAATGCTTATAATGAGTTGAGTTTCATTGAATATTATTTTTTCTATACTTTTGCCAATGCATTTCGATTTTGCCGAGACATTTGACGGTGTTCCACATGAGCAGCTGTTGCGTAAATTGAAGTCTTTGCATGGGAATTGAGAGTAATGTACTCAAACGGATCAGAGATTTTCTAGCAGGGAGACGACAACCTGTCTTTATTAATGGAACCGTATCAGACTGAACTTCAGCGCGCTGCGGCGCGCCACAAGGAAGTGTTCTCAGTTCTGCTTTATTCGTTGCGTTTAAAAACGATCTTCCAAAAGCTGTGTCTAGCGTGTGCTGTTTAAACAGTTTAAATAGTGCTGTTTTAAATAAACACAAAAGTTTATAATACGATGAAGAATACGTCGCAAAAAGTGCCAGTTGCAAGGTGATCATGACAGGTTGGTAGACTGGGCTGATAAATGGCAGCTGCGTTTTAACGCTGAAAAATGTAAAGCAATCCAGCTTGCAAAAATTATGAACAGCAAGGTTACAGTATGAGAAGAAACGGTTGCAACGACAGAGTGATGATGTCGAAGTCGACAATGGGAAAAGATTTAGGAGTTAATGTCGACAATGTGTTGAAATTTTCTAAGCATATTGAAGCTCAAGTTAATAAAGTCAATAAACGACTTGGACTGATCATACGCTTTATGAGTACATAGATGCTGAAGCGATGAAACTGTTGTTTGTTGCTGCCGTGCGCCCGAACCTAGAGTTTGGAAACCCTATACGTGGTCACCGAGACTTGAAAAGTACACAAATTTAATATAAAGTGTTCAAGACGTGCAACAAGGATAATTCGAGGCTTGAATGGCAAGTCTCATGAAGAAATATTGAAGATTATGAAGCTTCCGAGCCTCTGTTATGTATCGACGTCTGCCTGGTGACCTTATTGAAGTATACAAGTATACATACGGTTTATTCAAGGCCCAGAAAGATTACTAAAATTTTAAACAAGAACCAACACCAGGGACCACGGCTATAAACTAAAACACCTGCGTTGTAACACATTCATGCGACAACATTTCTTCTCGTTTCGAGTCACCGACATGTGGAACAGCCTCCCTGATAGCATAGTTGACGCTCCGAATATGAACGCTTTCAAGAACAGACTAGACGAAGCTATGCAGGAGCATATGTTCAGTCTTAAAATGCCCAGCAAATTACGGACCAGGCAATAAGACTAGACGAAGCTATGCAGGAGCATATGTTCAGTCTTAAAATGCCTAGAACCTTACGGACCAGGCAATATATTCCAGCAGCTATCTCAATCAATCGACAGTTATGGAAAGATCGGGTTCCAAAGGCTGGATCCTTTGTGAATCAAGTCTCGAAAAGTAAAGGAATCGGCAACAGGACATGGGCCTATTTCTTCAGTACCGACACTTCTATTCAATTCTATAGATTGTCCACTGCCCAGCATGTAGTGGCCCTAGAACAAATAGGAAAACAGATCCGGATAACACAACGAGTTTCCCCTCCTATATGGGCGCCGTAAATCATAAAAAAATAATTAATTCAAAGACTAATAAACATCACATTAAATTCCATCGTTGTAATATCATAATTACATTACAACCACAAGGTTGTGTTACAATCATTACATCCGCACGGTGTGCAATAGAATCGATATAAAGATATGCTATTATTCGTTACAATCAAATATTCGTTCCATACATAAGGTCGAAACAACTGTAATTGATAGGGAATTGAAACTTCAAAGAATCTGATAGGGAAAAGAAACTTCGAAGGTGTATGAAAATAATCTGCTTATAAATCTGGTGTATGACAATAAAAAGTAAGGAGCTTATCAGTCTCAGCAGCGACCTCTTTGAAAAACGAATCCTAAAGAAATATATTACAGTTATTACAAAGTTAACTGAAATTTCGAATGCCAACCAAGATTTGTAAAGTAAATGATAAGAAATATTAAGAAACTAATTATTCAGCAATTAGGATAAAGTTTAGATTACATTCCACTTTTAAATAACTGCAGGAATTCGACAATGAAACCCATCAACAATACGGGGATTAATTTTCAGCTATATAGATATTTACACGGTAAGTTAGGCGCTTAATTTTTTTAAGCATTGCAGTAATATTGGCTTGAAGTATGTAATGTGCCATAACCTGGCGGTGGCAACGGCGAATGCTTTTGAAAGTTTGCCTTAATAACATTTCTATAAGCAAACGATTATTAAAAAACTTTGATAATTGATATAATTCTTGGGGCAACGAAGGTGCTCAAAATTGAGCAGGCTCGAATATATTAATTAGTCAAAGGATTTGTCATGCACATAAAATACTTTAATAATTTCTTATAATTTAAACTTGATTTACGAAGCAAAACATAGCGGTTAATCTATCGGTATTTACGCATGTATGTTGGGCGAAACACAAATTAGGTGAAGTCTTTCTGAACTTAAATATATAATCTAGTTCTATGAAATAAACATGTCTAATAATATTTCTTTTATTACACATAGTTGCCGCGTGCTTCGGCCCAATTCAATGGAATATTTTAACTATTACACATCGTTTCGCGTGCTTCGGCCTTTTCACGCTTTCGTACCGTCATAGGCATTCAAAGAATGGCTTGTTTCGCTAAGAGAAGGCAAAATTGCTGAGGTTCAATTCCATAATTACAATTTATTATATAATAATACTATGTCATGGGCATAACTCTAACGCAGCTGCTATCACACGTCAATATTACATAACGAACGCTGAGCTGCATAATAGATTCGTAAGATTATTCCTAATACTGTCTTGCAATGATATCACGATTATTTTGTGCAATTTTTATATGATGATCATAGTGTAATGTTCGGTGTTTTAACAATTGTTTTATCACATTTATTACATGTCAAGTGGGTACAAACTGGCGCTAATATTGCTCAGCTCAGTTTGCTTGCAATCACATCGAATGTTGTATAGCCTCAGCGGGAAGCTGAAGTCGTTATTTTGACAGATCTGCTCGAATTCACGCCATGAATGACTCGGTAATTTCCAACCCGAGACTTAATTAGCCACGTAATTAGCTGATCATTTCTTTGCTCCCGCGAGGCTTGTCTGAATTGGCAGAGAAAACTTCACAGAAAACGATACAATTTCACCGCAGCCATGAATGGACGATACTTTGTTTGGGCAACCTTACATTTTTCTTTAATATTTCCTTTGTTATTTCATAATATTTTGATGTTGCATATGTACTGTGTGTATGCATCGCGTTTAACGTGCGCTGCTTTCATCCCCTAATAAAGAGAAGAACGACCAGATATGACCAGTGCACGTAAATTTTTCGTCAATTAGGAATTGTATCCAACGAATTTTAGTAAAATGTTATAATGTTCTAGGCACATTGTCCCTTTATGTTTCACTTGCTGTTATTTGTTTCAGCGAAATATAAAACATCTCGTTTTATTTAAAGGTATACTGATTGGCCGCTTCTCGTTGAGTCAAAATTGGATATAGAAAATATCAAATAATCAGCATGGCTGTCCGAAATAGTCATAGTAAAGCTAATGATAATGAAGGGAAATTTGAGGAAATTTTTAATTCCCGCTCATGAACGCTAGCGCCGCTGACTGATTCGGTCGAATGTACAATGTGGACATCGGTTGACAAAGTCTGCGGAATTTAGTACTAATGTTTCAGTTACTATTCTACGGACTTGTTATACTGTATGTCTGGCATATATTGCTTTTACGAAATAATCAAATCAGTTATATATTTGTAATGCATGCTACGCACTTCATTATGGTATTCCACTTTGCATATGTATCAAGCCTGACACATTTCATAATAGAGTCTTTATGAAAGCTGTCAGTTAATTTGAACACAAAAAATGGTTTTTCGCTGTGAATAAGAGATAATAACGATAAGACTGAAGTATGTAATGATAAGATAATAATGATAAAATGCCAATAGATTGAAGGCGCAAATACCAATAGATTGACCATTTGTAGTAATGTTTCGCTTCGAAAATTCATTTTCTCTTGTCTGAAATTATTAGAGTATTTTCAAATGCATGACAAACCCCTTTTTAATATATAAAAAGAATTTTAAAATAATGAAGGGGGAATCATCATAATATGATGATTCTTATCTTCATAATATGATGATTCTCACAGATTTAGTCATAAAATAGTTGCATAAAAAATATTTATAAAATATCACAGAATTATTCATATCTCAGTCTTACCCTAAAAATTGTCCGGGTGCAGCAGAGTAAAGCTCCTGTAGAATTTATTTTTGCCGAGCCACAGGCTAACAGGTTGAAACTAAATCTTACTAAACCAGGTTTGCTGTTGTCTGGAAACATGACGAACAGTTTTTAATTTCATACACAAATTTGAAACTACCCATAAACTTTGAGCAAGTGCATGAATAACTATTATTATCTTGATTTTAACGACTTTTTACTTTTTTCTATATTCCTGCCGTCCTGTTATCATCCATGCCAAAAGTAAGGTGCTAGTAGGATGTTTTCAGGAGGAACGAGGATGCAATAGATTTCCTGCAGCTTGAAGCCCATAACTAATAAGATGCTCTATACACAATTTACTAGTAAACAAAATCAGAGCTCCGCAAACTTATTTCTCTTGACCCAACATCACTCGCTTGTATTTGCACACATTGCAATTGGCAGACAATGTACAAGGCTGCCCTTTATTGGAACCAATGAAGACCTGGCAAAATGCATTTATTTTCTTTTTAGCCACATCTATGTCAGTTGATGAAGCTAATATAGCATAATTTAACATACGATGTTAAATAAAATTGCATTCTCCTTCCTGCTTTAAACTTGACAATTTTAGATTGAACTTCGGCGGTAGATTTCGGGTTCCACTTTACGTATACCTGGATTTCTGGCCGTTTTTTCTACCGTACCTATGTATTTAATCTATAGCATTGTTCACTTAACAAGTGTTGACAAGATACAGCAACGTATCTGAACGAACACTCAAGGGTGTTCTATAAGAGGGGGAAAGGCAGAGGAGCGACACGCTCCTTTACCTCCTTTCCTCAGGAGCAGATTTCGAATGAAGACATTGGCCAGTTGCCGGCTTTATATAGAGTGTCGCTGCCCCCGTCTCGGTCACAAATTTCCAGCTTTAGCCTTCTAAGGATCGGACATTTTTGGTACCAGAAATTGCTAAATGCTGATATCATATCATTCATTGATCGCAAAAAGTTAGACATTCTAGTCTCGCTAAGTTTTCCAAATGGTTTTAAATATCTGCAATTGTTTTTAGGTTCAAATCATTGTTGTTTTTCACAAATATCATCTTTTTCGCCGTTAATTATCAGCATTCGTATCTGAAATTCCGAAAAGTTTCTTCATGTTTAATTCCATAACAACAAATTACCGTAAAGTTGACCTTCTACCCTTGCATCGGGTCATTTTGTTTAAAACCAATGCATGAATAAAGCTTACATGAATAAGATGTTGCTAATTCTTCATGCAGAAATTGAGCTAACGTTAAAGATGAAATAAATAAGATGTTGTTAATTCTTCATGCAGAAAATGAGCTAACATTAAAGATGAAATAAATAAGATGTTATTAATTCTTCATGCAGAGAGTGAGCTAACATTAAAGATGAAATAAATAAGATGTTGCTAATTCTTCATGCAGAAAGTGAGCTAACATCAATCGAAGTTGATGATGAGTGTTGCGTTGAGGTTGACCAGGTTCCGACGACCGGCCATTTCTCACCCACGCCGCTACCTCATCTCGAAACCAAGTGCCAATTGCGATCAGAATTATCGCTTGTTTACCAGGCCATAAGAGTCCTGCACCATTCCCGTGACGGTCATGGGCGATGACGAACTAACGGTGATCCGTTGGACTTGTCCAGAACGTACCCTCGACCTTGATTCATACACGCGAACGCTGTTTAACCGCCATTTTGAAACGTACATCTGAAATTGATTCAAACTCGTATAGGCTGTTAGACATCCGATCTCAAATTCTGTCTTAAAATTTTCCATCAGTAGTTTAGATTTTGTTATAGAATTGATAAATTTATGTATGATTACGGAAAATCCTTGTTCGAGTTAAATCTGTGATGGTAAAATCTTTGCGCTGTTAATGTTAAAACAATTATATGTGTATTGAAATATCTTTAAATTTGCTAGCTGCCCAAGAAGTCGATCATAAAATCATTTATTTTTCTTCAAATTGATGATTAACATTATAAGACAATTTTGTTAAAGAATCTGAACTGAAATCTTCCATCATTAGAGATAACACATCAAATGTTTCGAATGCGCTGGCTTTACATTTATGTAGGACATAACTTCAACGTTAGTGTTGCTATCATCGCGAGTCCCAACGAACATAGATTAATTAAATACCAATTCCTTTTATGGGTTCGATAAAAGTCTTCATAAGGTGAAAAAACTTGTATTTTATCTCATCACTTTCATGGGTTGCACTGCGTGGGGAGTTGACACAGATTAAAGCTGCCAGCACTGAACAAACGTATTAACACTTCTATCATATTTTGGGGGTTTGACACAAGCTTGAACTGCTGGTCTACGTCATAATCCAAGCCCCGGGATTCGGGCGCCGGTAGCGCGTATCGTTTATAAGCGGCAGCATCACAAAACAGCTCGCGTCTCTGGGGTAATAACGCAAATGAGGGCAACAGCGCACTCTCTACTGCAGCCCGCAAAATATTACGCACTTTTTATAGCCTCGTCACTAATAAAGTCAACGTGTGTTTCTAAAAAGACAATAAGCGATCGTCTGAGCTCGATCGAGCTCCATTGTCTGACCAATTCGAATTTTAATCAAATATAAATTATTTATCTGTATGTATAATTGAATTATTTGAAGTGCTGCCGCATATCGTAATGTATTTTTCATGAGATGGTACTCGTAAAATAACTTAGGTGGGAGTAGTCTAAAGTATATTCAATACCGAGCACAGAAACGTGAAAACTACCTTGGGATTCTGGGTAGCCCATGAGGTGGTAGAACAGGGTCGCCTGCCGAAGACCACCACTGCCCCGGATGTAATGGGCCATCATGATTCCTGCCTTTCGGAACGTAGCCTTCAACACTTCAAGCCGTCCGTATCCAGGCCGTGGGTCGAACCAGCCCTCGGTCGAATGGCCACTTGTCGAAGGACGATAAATTTTGAAACAGAACTATGCTATCTGAAACCTAACCTCAGATGCGGTGAACGTAAAATTACGTAATTTAACGATGCCTGGAAGTCATATTCGAGCCACGGCCTGGTGGTGCACGGCAGGTGGTGGTCAAGGCCGGAAGAGGAAAAAGCCGAGTGGTGCACGGCTGATTGGTGTAGGTCCAGAGAGATCCAAGGCGTTCGATTCAGGGCTTATTGGTGCACAAAATTGGTGGTGCACGGCTGCGCTCCCGTAGAAACAAAATCCATCGCGGTATCTTAAGCACGAATTATCTCATTTATTGATCCTGCCGCCACCCACTCTTGACCCTGCTGCACGCCTCCCTTGATCCTGCTGCACGCCTCACTTGATCCTGCTGCACGCCTCACTTGATCCTGCTGCACGCCTCGCTTGGTCCTGCTGCACGCCTCACTTGATCCTGCTGCACGCCTCGCTTGATCCTGCTGCACGCCTCTCTTGATCCTGCTGCACGCTTCTCTTGATCCTGCTGCGTGGCTCATTCTAACCTACTGCCCATCAATTGAAAACTTATTCAAACCTATTGCCTAAATTATTTGCTTTGCTTGTGCTTATAATGGGTAAATAATTTCTTTTGCCAAACCTTCTTCGCAATGCACCTGTTCTCATATTTTCTGCTTGTGTTTTGAGTTAGAATGCGCCTTCTCCCAAACCCTTAAGAAACTAGACTGAGAACTCAAGCCTTACTGCAGGCATAAATTACTGGTCTCATATGGGACAAGATTGTTTCCTTTGAAATGAATATCATGCAGCTTGGAAGAGTGGAAGTTTAAAATATGAGATACACACGACTGTCTGACCTCAAAGTCACAAAATGCTTTATTGAACTTTCTTAGTCAGTCTAAACCTCCATTTGAGTAAATGGTGTCCATCGTTCAGGAGATATCGCATTCTAACTTGTGATTTCATGATCAATTGACCTTTGGCTTACTTCAAGTTTCGTGTTACTGCATTCACGCAATAGGAAGTGCTTCAAAAAAATTTCCTGTTCATCGCGTAATATAACGATAATTCAAGGTATGAGGGGCAAGTCCTATGTAGAAAGATTAAAGATAATGCTTCCAAGCCTCTGTTATCGACGTCTGCGTGGGAACAAATTCACCAACCTTTCCCCAGCTAGCCTTCATAACTGCACCATGAACCTCATTATTAGGAATATAAAACACACCGGTACCTTGTTTCCAAATAATTTGGTGTGTTACAGTCAGTAAAAGTTTTCCTCGCTCTAAACTTAGTTGTATTGTTTCTTGCTGTCTCTTTGTGAATGTTGAACGCGTTCCTTTTTCTTGTAAGCTAATGCAATATTACTCTTCAAATAATATCATGAAAGAAAACAAGTTGAGAACAACACGTAAAAAATGTAGGCAATACACTCTCATATTGCAATAGAAGCAAGTAATAACATGCAAATTATTTTAATGCAATGCTGACTTGATGCTGCGTTTCATCAGTTATTTTCTCGAATAAATAAATACAGCTGCACTGCATGAAATCACTGAAGTAGCCTTGGTCATGACTGCGCGGAGCTTGAACTCGGATGAAACGGCGGAACTCTGATATTCTTCTCGATGGTTGTCTTCACACGAACCTTCAACAAAATTTGAGACTCATAACATTCATTTTGTTCGATGCAAAACAATGTATTGTTTTTAAAGTTGGGGACTCCTTCCCAGTTCATATCGTTATGCAAGAATAGATGAGTTTAGGTTTGGTTGTGTGATCCAGACTTCATGAGTATACCTGGTATTGAGTATCGATGGTTAAATTTATTTATAGCTAAAAAGTTATGTAATCTTTCTATGTCAAAAGTAAATAATCGATTAATTGCAAATGAGCATTGGTCCGTCGGTGATTTCAAGTGCAAGCGTCACTAGTCTGGTCGAAATCTGCCGCAACATGGTTTTGATAGATATCTTAATAATAATCAAGCCAACAGCGCTATTGCTACGCCGTTAAGAATGTTGCTGGATCATTTATGCTTTGCTAGGCCCCGTAAAAATGCTACCACCTGACATTTGTAACCCGACACTCGCGTCCATGTGGGACTTGAGATGCCCGTCACCTCCGTTCCCATAACCGCGATACTGCGCATCATTAGAGGCTCATGCAACATTGGAGACGATGCTTCAAAATTTATTAGCTCTTCAGTTCACATCATTTCAATCATGCCCTCAAACTTTATTAATGCCATTGATTTAGTTTTGTGCATGTTCCATATCGACATCAGAATTTAATATCTAAATGACGATCGAATTTTTTTGCAAAACTAGCAATAATTTTTCTACAAATTCGCTGTTCAATGAACATGGCACTTAATCAAGTAACTGATTTAGAAAAATACTTTTGTTTGGTTGTTCAATTTTTCCCATCTAATGAGAAACTATAATTATTTAATTATAAATTTCTCTATAACCAAGCACCATCGCCTCAAATTAAATGATCCGTTAGTAATTTTCAACTCCCAATTACCGCTGCTGATATATTCGATTTTTCGAGACCCTGATTGATACGAGTTGTTAGCTGCGGCGACCATCAGTAAGCTTCATATCAGGTCCGCATAAGAAGGGGACACACAGCCCTACCCCTGGCTTCTTATGTATCGTGAACTAACTCATCAAAATTTAATGGCCTTAACAGTCAACTGGACTCTCCCTCATAAAGGCGTAATTGTGGGGGAGCGTTCGTGGAAACGCGCGTGCGCAAGTTTGTCGGTTCAGCCAGCAGCTCATGACATTCTCTTGAGGCGTCAAGGACACGGGAAGTCATACACTTTATACAAGCTCATTGGATGTAGTATCCTCAACGAACTCAATCGAATCAAAAAGTTTTTAAAAACTAGATTGATTAAATCTCATACATTTTTATCTCATTTTTTTTTATCTTTTAGTTCCTTCTAATGGGGTCAGCGAGAATTAATATCTTGAATTCTCGCTATGTCAAATAAACTCACCAAATATCTTGTTACTATTCAAGTAAAAGAACATATGCCCGATAATGTGCATTAATATTTATTTAAATTCGAATATATAATTATATTATTAAAGATCAACGGAGGAAGGTTTATATGCAAAGTTTATTCACAAGGATTCCTTCCCTCAATTATTTGAGAACTTTCTTTGTTGAACTAATGAAACTATCTTTTATTTTAGGTGAACCGTGACGCCGCTTTCAAAAAAAAAAACATTGCATTGAGGTGAATATGTGTTGACTCGATTATACACAGCCAGTATTTTGAACCAAAGAGGAACATTACGAATTAAAAATGAGCCGTTTTTTCTTAAAAAAGAATTTTTCACGAGATTGATCGGCGTAACACTTCACTTGATGTTCGAGCGTTGTTAAACTGCGAATTAGAAATAACTGTTACGGAACATAATCGCTCTAAGGCTTCAAACGATAAGTACACATCGCACGCGTATTGGATGCGACAACATCTCGCTGACTTTCATTCTCGTTGTGAGCATCTCTCCATTCCTTGCACCTATAAAGCCAAAGAACTCACGTTACAGCAAAGTAATGTATACAATACGCAAGCACAGAATAAAACCATTTTTCCGTTAACAAAAAATTTGACCGTACAACAAATTTTGTTCGCCTTCGCTCTGTTACACCGCGTGGCACGAACCTTTCCTTATGGCGACGCTGCCAAAAATATAAGTTTGCATATTAGAACACATATATGGTGTCATCATTAGCACGGGAAAGGCTGTATGTCGCAGAGCTTCAGGGAAGCTACAAGCCAAAATCGCAATGCATCGTTACCTCAGGAGCTAGTGAACCAAATTCGGCGTCTGAAACTGAAGAATAACTTCACATTTTTAGATTCCGCTGGAGACTGCATATTTCAGGAAGAAGATGCAATACCTGAGCCCTGAATTCTGGGATACCTAAATACCTGTACGGGCATTTTTCTCTTCTTAGTTTCAGAATGGCATTACGCTTATGAAAAACGTATTATGTAGGAACATATTTCATTGACCCTATGATTATAAAGGGCATTGACTCCTAAAAAATAATCTCTTAAAATTTCTGCCTAGTAACACTCATCTGAATGAAGAGAAAAACGATCAACTGCAGCATGGATATTGTATTTTCAAATTTTAGTGTTTTTGGAGGTGTCATTTTTTACGCTTTCATTTACTGTGGTACCTGTGGAATGACATATTTAGTGTTCCCAATTGGCCGTATACATTTCAGGGACGGCACCATGTGTCGGAAGCAGGATACGCTTTGTTATTTGTTTAATTGAAAGCAAGGGGAGAAAGTCATCTCATGACTGTCATATAAAAAAGCGTCCTCAAAAAAGCATAAACGATCGCCTTCATAAACGTAAATATCGCTCCATGTGAGTTATTTGTTCGTCAACTTATTTCAGGCATGCCCGAATGCAATCCACTTCAGAACAACTATTGCCCTGGTTAGTTGATGCCGAATGTGCCTTGGCACCCTTATGTGGGGAGGCTTAGCTAAAAGGACATTCCTACAACTGTGATCTTGCAGGGTTTTGACACGAGCCTCACTCTCCCGAGCCTTTATCACGACCCACAGTTTGCGGGTCAATTGCAAAGCTCTTCGGTCGTAATCAATCACAATAAAAAGCTATCAATCGATCATAACGATCGTGATAAAGGCTCGGGGAGTAAGGCTCATGTCAAAACACAGTAAGATCACAGTTGTAGGAATGTCTTTTAGATATATAGGAATAATTATTAATTTATTATAGATATGATGAATTTCTTGCAATAAGGTTCATGGATGCCACCAGGAAGTGGCAGACTTACCAATGCTTTAGTCCTCGCAACACCAAGAGATTTTCCCGTTCGGTGGAGGATTCAATTTCTACAAATATATGTAAGATAATTGTTCGATAACTGCATGATGATATTGGGATAATTCTGATAACTGCATAATGATCGTGACGTACGCCTTGTTGTATTATATTTAATGAGGACTGGTCGATCATGGAGGAGAATGCTGGCAAATGTGTATCCATGTTGGCAAATATGTCGTGAAGGAGTATATTCATTAGTGGCTAGGGTAGTTTCAGTTTTTCATGTCTAAGGTATTCGAATACTTTGGAAGATATGGAAGAATCTACGTGCTTTACTGTGTGACCTTCAGCCCGTAATCACACCCACCCGTAATCAGCCTGTATTTTTTGAGGCGGGGGCGCCCCTGCAGGATGGTGAGGAGGGAATCCACAACACATGTAAAAGGTTGTAATGCAGTCTTATCTACGAAAAAAAATTGTAGAAACAGAAATAGATAGATAATAAGTCATACTTTCTTAGCAACAGGCAGTTACTTCTGAAAGTCTGTTAATTCTCCTTATAGTCTCCAGGTATAGGAATAGTTCAGGCACTAACGAACAGAACCATAAAATATAGGCACGTAAGGTCACAAGTGATTGAGAAACATGAGCGAAAATTCTTGAACTTGTGTTCAGATTGCCCATTCAGCAAACGACCGGTGGCTGGAGTGAGATTGGTGGCCGATCTGAGACGTAAGGTGCAGCATCTTGATGTGTGCCATGGAGCACGGCCGAGTGGAGAGTTGGTGACTGGGATGCGATCATGCGACATGTAACTTGATGTAAGGTGCCGAGTCTCATGTTACCGAATACGTCTGAGTTTCAACATAACCGTGTAGAAACACTTAAATGTTCACTCTTTTAAGTTTGGACAAACTCACCTGCTCTTTGAGAGGGCTTGCTGGCCCTGAATTTAGTTCTAAAACAAGTAAGGACTAAATGGAATTTCAAACTAATCTCAAGCTGGCTATGTGGCAGTTTAAAATTTGTCATAGTAGTCACAAACAAATTAGAAGAAAATATAACTCAGTATTCACTGCAGTGAGTGACAGAGAGCGCATTTTCTCGTCGACAAAAATGTGAAGTCACGGAAAGACAGACGGACATGACGGCCACAGGAGCGCCTTTTTCCATAAATGAGAAAATGCGCTAAAAATATTGCACATCTAATAAATGCATGTGATATTTTGTCAATTGTCAAGCTTGACACAGGAATGTTTTAGGTGCACGAACATTGAAAAATTATGTCCGTTTCCTCTAAATATAAATAAATATGAATATTACTATCAAATATATGATAAACCATAAAATATAAATCCAAGTCAAGCAAATTTAAAGCTTCATAATTGTTAATAAAAGTTACTCTCTAGTCTTCGGTCCGATCGTTGTAGAAATTTGTGATCGAAATTTGATCACAATTTTTCACGACCGTCGGGAAATATTTATCATTTATATGCCTTCATCATTGTGCCAATACTATTATATTATTAACATTATTCCAACACAGGACTTCATTAAAAAATTTCTTGGCATCAAATCGTTACCAAAATCATGAGTAATCACTAATGAGATAAATTTTTAGCAGTAAATATTACTATGAATTTAGCATTTTTCGCAAAAATATCCCATCGAATAAATATATATATAGTAAGTGATCTAAATTGAAATGAAATTTAGTTATTTATCTCAAGATGCTACAAATCTACAATTGCCTTTCATCTTGCCTTGATGTACATGACTTTTAGTATAGTGAAGAATGTGTGTGTGAGTGGGGCAGATGCAAAATTATTCTGCGATGTTTTTCATATCAAAATCATTGTTTATTTAATTTATGTAAGTATTGGAAACAATTAATAATGACTTGATTTTATAATTTATTTCTGTTGTTTGTCAATTCATGTTTTTTTGGCTTCTGTGTTGGTACGAGTACGACATGTGGAATGCGAATCGTCAACGATTTCTCACCCATGCTTGTTTTCTCCGCGCCATGACTTGACTTATTTATATGAATAAACTTAGGGCTACATTAAATTCCTTACAAAGAACTTTTTGGGGGTTCTCGTGGTTCCTTTTACTCAACATTTGTATTTTAATGTGTCAATGAGTTTTTTCTTATTTGACCTAAATGAAATAGGTAGGTATATGCAAGATCAGCAAGAATTGGCGTGATTGGCAGTTGCCTCGCACAATCACATGACAATCTTACAATGCCACATGCTCGTTTTAAATGTCAGTTTATAATAGTTAAGCATGGTCATGAATCATGACAGTGGGATTAGTGGCCAAGCCAGGACTTTTTAGATTTTTCCTCTCTGAGTCAAATGAAATGACCCTGGTCCCTGAAATACCTAATCATCATTCATCATCATTGAAACCAGCTTGAGCTTGGCAGCTTCTAAATTTCATACCTAGTGTGTTGTGGCCACTGGTCAGTGGTCACTGTGGTCAGAGTTGTAAGAATTTCAACAACTTTTGGAGGAGTTAAATGACCAATATTTTTATTTTTCAAAAGCTGGATAGCAGGATAAACAGTTGAGTTAAATTTTACAACAACTAGGCCTGCTGCCTAGGCCCCTAGGGTANATAACTCCTTCAATACTTAACAGATCTGCTTAAAATTAAATTATCAAGATTCAGATGCAGTAAATGAAAATTGGAATATGTGCACTTTATTTATGGTATTTAATTTCACGATAGGGGTTTCTTCCGAAGGCATGCGGATAAGCATTCTTTCAACCAGGTATCATATCAAAATTAAATCATGAACATGAACTCCCTAATGCCTTCAGCACGTGTCTAGATCATAGCATTTCTTTCCGACAACTGCTGCGTTCTCAAGTTATAAGACTTATTATTCGACTTGTGACCTGTCATCCAAGACAACCAAAAATTATATCCAAACTTCAGATATGATTCCAATGAAAAATAGCACTTAAACCTTTTTCTCGCATCTATGTAGTACATTTTTTGTGCATAATAATCTTGTTCACTAATTATAGGACATCCATGATGATGGAATCTTTGGCTTACACAGTTCATTTAGTAATAATAATAATAGCAGTTTCAGCATTTAGTAGGCCATAGGCCTGTCGCTGATTCTTAACATTGCAGAACATTCACAGCATTTTTGCGGTCTTGAATTCGCAATGCACTGCTACAATTCTGCTGTGCTTAACTGCCCGGCCTCCTTGCCGATTCTGACCAAAAACTGGCGCACAGAGCTGGGATCTAACCCGCCCCTCTCTGCCCCAATCTTGGTACTCTGAACTTTAACCACTGGGCCACCCTGCGCAGTACCAATTTATTTGAGTAAAAACCATTTGCCATTGAGCTGCCCATCCAAACCTGTAACTCGTGGATAAAATAAATCTCGGATGTCATTTATAAGTCATTTATTAGCAAAAGATAATTGTTAAAACAAATTCCCCATTGATTCATATTAAAGCGTGTGATCTGACCTGCAACATAAGATACTCATATAAATTTTTCCAATGAGTTGATTATCATGGAATATGTGCGTGTTACAAACATCTCGGACAAATTTGAGACCGTAAATGCTGCCGGTCTCACTGTAAATATCTAAATTCAGTGAGCAATCAATATTCCCAAAGTAATGACCTTAGCTCAATGAAACTTGTACACGTACCGTAAAATGGGGTAACTTTGACCACTTTTTTATTTAAAAACAATGCCATTTTTTTACTAGATAAATTAGACTTAAATTGAAACATGCAAAATACAGGTCTATATGTACTCTAGCTTTACTTGCCATAAATTGCTGACTCCTGCCTCTCATAGTTTTGATGTAATTTTAAAAAAAGTGATGGTCTTTGTTACCCCAGCTCTTGGGGTTTCTTTGACTGGGTGGTAAAATCAAAGGTATCATATCAAAATTAAATCATGAACAAGAACTCACTAAAGCCTTCAGCATGTGTCTAGATCATGGCATTTCTTTCCGACAACTGCTGCGTTCTCAAGTTATATGACTTATCATTAGACTCGTGACCTGTCATCCAAGACAACCAAAAATTATATCCAAACTTCAGATATGATTCCAATGAAAAATAGCACTTAAGCCTTTTTCTTGCATCTATGTAGTACATTTTTTGTGCATAATAATCTTGTTCACTAATTATAGGGCCATTAGGTTTTAGCCATTTTTATTCAGAAGTGTCTTAGTTACATGAAATTAACCTCAACATCCATGATAATGGAATCTTTGGCTTACACAGTTCATTTAGTAATAATAATAGCAGTTTCAGCGTTTAGTAGACCATAGGCCTGTCGCCGATCCTTAACATTGCAGCACATTCACAGCATTTTGCGGTCTTGAATTCGCAATTCACTGCTACAATTCTGCTGTGCTTAACTGCCCGGCCTCCTTGCCGATTCTGACCAGAAACTGGCGCACAGAGCTGGGATCAAACCCACGCCTCTCTGCGCCAATCTTGGTACTCTGAACTTTAACCACTGGACCACCCTGCCCAGGACCTATTTATTTGAGTAAAAACCATTTGCCATTGAGCTGCCCATCCAAGCCTGTAACTCGCGGATAAAATAAATCTTGCATGTCATTTATTAGCAAAAGATAATTGTAAAAACAAATTCCCCATTGATTCATATTAAAGCGTGTGATCTGACTTGCAACATAATGATACTTGTATAAATTTTTCCAGCGAGTTGAATATCATGGAATATGCGCGTGTTACAAACGTCTCGGACAAATTTGAGACCGTAAATGCTGCCAGTCTCACTGTAAATATCTAAATTCNTGGAAATTTTATTTCAGTTATTTATAGACAGATAACTTGGAAATTGCCATTGGAAATTGGAAATTTTATTTCAGTTATTTATAGACAGATAACTTTGAAACTTGGTACACATACATAAAAATAAATTTAAGACTTTTTTTATTCATGTGAAATTTTCGAAAAAATTAAAGAAAACTTGAAATTATTAGAAAACCAAAGGTTTTTTAAAGGCGACTTGAAAGTACGATTTGGCGGTAAAGGGTTAATTCTGAACTACTGAACTGATTTGGACAAAACATTGAATATACATTCCTAACCTTCCATCGGTTATGTTTAGCTTGTGACAATTTTTTCAATTTTCTCTTTGTTTGCGAGTAATACAGCTATAAGTATATATGGCTGGTTGTCAATGCAAATTTAAAAATTGGCCTTAAAAATGCCAGTCGTTTCTTTGTAGAACTCTCGAACGAAAGTGAAATCGAAAATTTTTTCACTAACTGAGAGGTTAGGATTGTGTATTCAAAGTCTCAATAAAACCTATTCAGTAGTTTAGAAGAAATTTCTTGTTCACTGCAAATTTCGGCCCAAATTGCGATGTACCTCACGAATGAAGATAAATGGAAAAAAACTTGAAAAGGAAGGTAAAACGCAAAAAATTGTCACAAGCTATACATAACCATTGGAAGGTTAGGAATATATTGCGGTGCTTTTATGCATGATATGATTAGTATATTCAAAGTTTTGTTTGAATCTGTTCAGTAGTTTTAAAGAAATTTCTTGGTCATTGCAAATTTTGTCTCAAATTTTTTGTATAACTCAGGAATGAAGGTGAAATGGAAAGAAATTTTACAATCTAAGCATCACCGTTAGGCCTTATGAAGTTTCATCAAGCTTGCCATTTCATTGCTTACAAACTTTCAGATGTACGTAATGTTGAAGTGCACACGTATCTTGAATAATGGCATTGTAATATATTGCATGCAAGCTTTCAGATGTACGTAGTGTTGAAGTGCATGCATAACATGAATACAGGCATTGTGATATATAGCATACAGGTTTTCAGATGTGCGTAGTAAGTTGAAGTGCGTGAATTTTATGCACACAAACATAGTAATATTTTGCATACAAATTTTTAGATGTATGTAATCGGTTAAAATGCATGAGTATCATGCATAAAAGCACCGCAATATATTGCACACCTACATGCTCTTACATGTCAAGGTTAAAATAAAAATATAACATGCAGAAAATTTCCTCAATAAAGTTTGGTTCTAACTTCTAAGTAAAAAAAAAAAAACACTGGCATAATCAGTCCAATTATTTTTGCAAGCTTCAATACATATGATGGTTGCATTGTTCCGGCGCTAAACATTTTACGTCTGCTTGTAATGCGGTGTTGGATCATAAGTTTATCGTGTCGTGTCTCGCCAGTTGGCACTTGGTAGTCGTCATATGTTTATCATGAATAAGTCTCTCTAGTTGGCAGTCGTTGAAAAAGATAAATGACCTATTATTTTAGCTGGAAAGTTGATGTAAAGTAAAAAAATTGGTCGATAACTTCAGCGAAAGTTGATAACTTTGCACAATTTTAATCGAGTCAAGTGATTTCACTATAACAAAAAAAAAAAAAAAATTGTAAGAAACATAACTGAAACAGGAAGGAACATTTTAGTGACAACCATCATATTTTTGGTGAAATAAATCATAGTTTAGGTTAATTACCTTTCATTCTTTGTTGCCCAGTGCTCAATTCTATCTGTGACATTCTATGCACAATTTTGTGATGACTGATGCAGTAATTTTGTATTAAGTGACATTTTTTCACTGAGTAAGGTAAATGTAATCAAAATTCTTTGTTGTTGATTGATTTTTAGTGCATTTCCTCATATATGGAAAAAATGCACTATTGTGCTTGCCATGTCCGTCTGTCTGTCCGTCCGTCCGTCAGTCCGTCCGTCCGTGACCACGTTTTCATCGACAAGAAAATGCGCTCTGTCACTCACTGCAGTGCGTACTGAGTTATATTTTTTCATTAACAGGAGCCTTTGCTAACAAAGGTTCTACTGTAAATGCAATTTTAGAGGTGTCCCTTATTACCCCAGGGGGGTGTCCCTTATTACCCCAGGGGGGTGTCCCTTATTACCCCAGGGGGTGTCCCTTATTACCCCAGGGGGGTGAACTTTTTTCAGGGATTTTTTAGAGGTAATAAATGTATGATTTCTTAACTTGCTTTATGCTGCATAGATAGTAAAAATGTTGAACTTTACACCACTATTTTTAGTTTTGCAATATTTTAATTAGTTTAGCTGCTACAGCATTTCTACAAAATGTTGGAGGACTGTCCCTTTTTTACCCCGCCCGTCCCTTTTTACCCCGTTTGATGGTACTACTCAAAAATCAAAATGGTTAGAAATGATTACAAAATCGCAAAAATATGAAGATAATCAAGAATTTAAAATACCAAAAATCACTCTGAAAAGTCTCAAGGTTCTGACAAATCCCAGTAGTTTGAAGGTTGATGGCTGGAGTCCCATCCATAATAATGAGGGCCTCAGCTATCATGAGTCAGTTGGGGTCAGAGCATTGCATGACAATGCTGGTGCATTCTTCCAGCACCGTACAGGTGATGATCTTGTTGTGGGCTTCCATCAGGTGGTTTCTTGGTCCACCTGACTGATGGTGTTGGGGCACTCCTAACATTCGAGCTCTAAAGGTCCGGTAAGACCAATATAGTATTGGCTTTTATCTTGCGGAAAACTAGTTGAACCAACCGAACAGCAGGACAATGAAACACAATACCAATCCAGATAAATGAACTCAAAACCAAGGAGACAGACGAGATATACATTGAGATGATATGCACATATGATGGTGAGGGGTTAGTGGAGTTAAGGGATGGTACATACACAGGATGAGAATGGATGAAACACAATAAATAAAGAAATTGCAAGAACCCTAAAACCCTAACCAACTCTAAACTATCGTGGTGATCAGTAAAACGTGGTAAAGGGAACAGTGACAATAAAACTTAATACTAACATCTCACACACGTAGAACTCTTCAAGGCAGGCTATCTTCCGAGTTAGGTGATTCCAAGTTTCCATCTTGAATCTCTAGCGTCCGGGTTAAGCTTCAGGTTATGCGCACTCTTGAGACTGGGTCAACCAGCTCCTAGTCCTACCCAGACTGGGCAACAAATCAATGGTTGCCTGTGACTCCCAAGTAACACTGGAGTACACCTTATAAGCAATGAGCACTGAATATCACTGGATAGCACTGAATTACACTGGTCAAGACTGGCTGGCACTGAGTTGCACTGGATCTCTGAATAATACAGGTTGTACTGTGTAGTCCTGAGTATCACTGACTAGCACTGGGCGGCTGAATAGCACTGGGTAATACTGGGTATCACTGGGCGGTACTGAAACTGTGGATAGCACGGAGTAGCACTGGAGTAACACTGGCACCAGGGTCACAGCCCTCCAATCAGTAACCTCAGAGCACTTGTCACACATCAATCCAGTAACCAGTAAAACGTGCTAGGATAGCCCAAACCTGCCACAATCCAGAGAACTCTCAGTGCATAGGCTACTTTCATAATCAATGGTCAATACACATGATCTATAAATGTGATCTGTACCTGTACGTACACACATAGAAGGAATAAGTGTGATCTGGAACGAGAAGAGACACAAGGGATTAGGGAGAAATGCATGAGAGAAGGAATGGCAACACAAAATACATGGAGCAAAAAGCCATTCCCTCACAATGGTGGCACATGAATCATTGGCTTACTGTTGTAGTTGTGAGCCCAATGAAGTCCATGTTGGGGAGAAGTCTACAAACTACTCTATTGCAGGAAAATTCAGACTAACATGATCTGGAAAATTCCTGTTTTTTGCAGGGGTTATTGTTCATTACAAGATTCTGTATTTTCTCATTTTTATAATAGATCAGTAGTTTAATTTGATTATTAGTTACGTTCATGTTGTTGTTTTGAACGATAGAATGAAGGATCCATTCGTCTGCTTTATAACCGCTGGTCATTTGGTTCTCATAGTAGATTGTTGTGTTAGTCTCTGGTTCATGGTTGAGTCTGTTTTGATACATTCAATGTTTTTAAATTAATGCTTAAATGCTTAGATGAACAAATTTTGTCAGCCTACACTAACATATACTATAAAATGGAGTAGGTAATAAGGGATGGGTGGGTAAATTGGGACAGTCTTCCCACATTTTGTAGAAATGTTGTAGCAAGGGTTGGCATTGATTAAATCAAACTGATTAAATCATTTGATCTTTTATGAAAAATCATGATTTTATATTTTATATAAATATTTTTTTATACATTTAAATATATTGAGTGGCAGTCATTAATATATTTTAAGGTATTGTTATTCATGGTTTAGCATAAATGTACTATGACAAATTGGCATATAAAATTTTTGCCTTTAATGTGTATTAGGTCCCAATGAATTGTACGTTTTTGTTACAGAGGCATCGAGTGTTGCAATACATTATACATAGCTAACAGCTTAGCTAATTCTTACAAGGCTATAAGTAGTCTTTAACTATTTGACTATTAGTTATATATTGAGTAAAATATACAATTTAAATATGTTAGCTACTTATACATGGTGAGGCAGAACCGATTGAGCAGTTTTGAGGCAAAATAAAAGAGTAATGGAGGTACATAAAGAAGAAAGTTTATTTTCCTCGAGGTTAGCATAACATACCATGTAAAATACTTATGTTTTGAAAATGAACAATATATGTTTTGTACTAAATGTTTTTTCATATGTATGTACATATGAAATGTTTTGTACTATATGGTACCTACTAACAATATATGTTTTGCAGGAGTCATGCTGTCTGCTGATGTGCCTGAGTTTGTACCAAAAGCTCAACGTGATAGAGCTCCTCTGGAGTCGAATGGAGCAGACTGTGATGTTGAGGAGCAGATTGAAACTTCATCACCAAATATTGAGGACATACCACCCCCAACCACCTCACAAAATGAAGATGAGAGTGTAGAAGTACCTAGGACTGTAGGAGATGCTGTTCATCGTAATGTCACTGACAACACCGTAGACAATACAGATGCTGCTACTGTTGCTCAGGGTTCAATCCCTGGAGCTGAAGCACTGAATCCTGATGAAGTAGACTGCTCATTAAGCCATGTTAATGGTGCTGCTAGCTTGACCATGGTTTCTTCTTGTGATATTAACCATGTCATTGAAAATAAGTACCCTCATAGCAAACTTTCAGCTACTGTTGCTGAATTTATCCCTGCAAGCGTAGTTTACATAAACAGTAATTCCACAGAGTCGCCAAGTCCACATAACCCATTCAGCCCTGCAACTGGCCCTGCATATGTCTATCCTGCCCCATATGGATATTATCCCCCATGGACCCCGGAACTAGACTACTCTTCAGGTTACTATAATTCCATGCCCAATAATGGCCACTACTCAGGAGGAGAGTTGTTTGTTCCTGATGGCGGTTTTGTCTATGATGGAACTGAGACTTACTCCTTGCCTGGTGCTGGAATGGTTATGGATCCCATATACTATGATTCTGGTATGATGGGCATTGATTATGGTGGTGGAGCAATGGCCTATAATGCGTATAGTGGCTTCAGTGGACGTGGTGGCAAGAGTAATACAAACTTCAGCAGACGCCCGTTCAATTCCAACAACAAAAACAAAGGGCGCAAGTTCGAATCTACCAGAGGAGGAGCAAGAGGTGGAGGAGGTCGACAACCTTCTACTGAAATTGGCATCTGCAGCCAAACTGGCGAGATGACTGTTGGAAAGCGCAAGCCTAACCAGGCTCCTCAGACCAAGAGTGATGCTAATGGGTGGTCTTCTCGGTCGCATGTCCACGCATCAAATATTCTTGGTAATGCTAATAACTGGCCTTCTCTAGCTACTGGTAAACCTGATCAGTCAATAGCTGCGCCAGTAGAGCTGCCTCGTCAACAGGAATCTAGTCCACCCTTGCCAGCTGAACCTCTTCTCCCTGTAGCACAGAGCAACAGCTTTTCGTCTATTGCCAGAAAAAAATCTGGTAACGGTGAAAGTATATCAGAGAAGCCAAGGAAAGAGGCGAAGTGTATTCCTAATCCCAAAAATCAAACCCCTGCAAAAGCCACATGTAATGTTACTGAAACGCCTTCGTTTAATGGTGATAACTCAGCAGCTTCCCTTGTTGAAGCAGCATCTAGCATCAGTTGTAATGGTCCGATAAGCAGCTCAGATGATGGCAATGGAGAGAAAATTATCACGAAATCCGACTCTCGTGATCCTGAATCCAGTGAAGCTGCTGAGAACGGGTCTCTATTATCTAAAAGTGCTAAAAAGAAAGCCAAGAAAAAACAGAAGAAGTTGAAGGAGGCAAAGGACCAGATCTCTCAGCAATTCAATCTTGAGACGTCTAGCAAAACCCCAGCTCAAGATGTCGAGCCATCGGCAACAAAAACTTCAACCAATGAAGTTGTATCTCACCCTCCATCTATGGCCGAAGTGTTGTCCAATCGTTCAAAACATGGCAAGATGGCAGCAAATGGTACTGCTCCTTCTAAAATCAATCACGCTCCAGTGAAAGAACCGTGCAGGACGAAGGAGGTTCCTGTCGTCGCAAAAACAGTTGATACTCCAATTAACAATACTGAAATTTCTACTGTAACTGCCGAGGAAAATGTCACTGTAAATAATCTTGCTGAAGTAGATACTGCCACAGAGCCCATAGAAGATGAATGGATTACTGTAAGCAAGAGGTCGAAGTCAAAGAAAAGCCAACTTGCCAAGGCTGAAAGAACTGGGGCCTTGGGGTTTCGCCAGTCACGCAACAGCGTTGGCAATAATACAAATTTTCGGCAACAAAACTCCAACAGCAACGGTGTAAATTTTCGTGCATCCCACTACAGTGTTGAACGGGACCACTATAATCGACGGAATTCCAACATTGAGGATAAGGGCGAAAACTTTCGTGGTTCACAGCAAATCAAGTTAACAAATTCCGAGCATAGACTGGATGAGACAGAACGACCTGCCTCTGAAAGATTGAACCTCCCAGATAAGGTTTCTTCAGAAGTGTACGATATTAATAGTAAGAGTACAACAGAGATCAATGGCAGTGTCAGTGTTTCTTCTCCTGATAAAGTTGCTGCCGTTGCCCCATCTGAGGCTAAATCTAAAGATAAAAATGACCCTGAAACTCAGGAAATATTGAAAAGACGAGCACTGAAAAAGGAAAAGGCAAAGCAGGAGAAAAAGATCATGAGAGAGAACACAGCTTTACAGAAGCAGACCAACGCGCGGAAGGATTCAAAGCTTTCCGTTGTACCAACTGCAGCTGAAAAAACTTGTTCTAATCCAAAAAACTTGCATACGGGGACGTTTGTGATGAACTCTGAGGAATACCCAACTCTTGGGGTGGGTGTTAGCAAGAAGTCTAAACCTTCACCAGATTCTTCAACCAAAATAGAACTAAAAAACTTGAATGGCATCATTCAGAGCTCTCCCAAAAATGTCCCCGTATCGACTTCTGCTTGGACGAATGCAAGCAATCTTGTTGATGAACTGAATTCGTCTGTCGGTGAGATGAATTCTGCAATGAATGGAAGCACCGAGTTCAAAATTAGCAGGCAGCCTTCGAGGTCTGATGTTAAACCTGCTTCGGCTCTGGGCGACAGCAGCGTCAGAAGAAAAGTCAAGAATGGTCAGATGCTGAATTCGGATGATTCGAGTAAAGTCAGGTCTCAAGAGAACAAAGGGAAACGAAGCACTGGCCCCGCTCCCTCTAAGCACGTCAAGTCCTCGCACAAGATTACTCTCAGTTTAGATGCATTAATTAAGGTGCGCCCTGAGTTCATTAACTTCCACACACGGAAGCCTATTTAGCGTTCTAAGTTTCTTTTATTTCGGTCATTGAATTACTAGATCCTTTAGTAAATTTAACTCTTTAATAATTACCTTCCTTCGTGTATTTCTGCTTATTTTTTAAACATCTGTTAGGGCCGTCATATGGATGTCACAAATGTTCCATGACCAGATGTCACTATGGTTATTTTTAGTTCACATATTTTCATGTAAATTCTGTACTTATTATCTGTATTCTGATTGATGAAGGTTCCTACATTTTTCCCCTTACTACCACGCTACCGATGCCGTGTTTAATGCTCGTGTTTGTTGGTGTCAGAGCTCAAGCCAGCGCGGCAAGACAGCTGTGAGGAGACCGCTTGCAGTGCGGACTATGGAGCCCTTGCGACGGCCAGCTGCATCGAGCTCCTCTTCAAAGCCCACAAGGTTTGGAATTAATTCAATTAATTATGGAGTCATTCCATTTCACTTGTCCATCTGTAACCGTAATAATAATACTGCTTGTTTGTCAATGAAAATGTAAAAGTTCGACTGGAATTACGATCTCAAGTGCTCACTGTGCATTTTTATTTGTTCAACTAAAACGTACCATTTTTCTTTCCACAGTAGCAATATTTTAATGTTGCGAAGGCATGCAATTAGTGAACCAATACTTTTAAGCTTTTTAATGATCAGCTTTCCGTTGAAAAAAAAAAATTTGTTCGCGTCCTTCTACGGAATCATTGTTTGCATTTTTAAATTGAATATTCCGTTGTATAATGTTATTTGTATAGCTAACGTGAATCCTCATCAGTGCCAAATAATGTTGTATGCCGGTTCGTTGACAGGCTTGTTGATGGTGCCTCGGCAGGACTGCGTGAGAAAGGCAAGAAGAAGAAGAGTTTAACTCCCGCTCAGCGCTACAGGAAGATCCGCGCGCAGTACAGGGAGAAGTTGCTCATGCTGTCAGGTCTATTGAAGTTCTTTTCTCTTAGTATAATCAATAGAGAAACACCTTAAGTAACATATGAACCGAAGATGACAACAAAAATTATATATATAGACATATTTGGCGTTCAAAATTTGCAGTCTGAGTTTTTCAACTTGGATCATTTCTTTATTTGAGCTAACAGGGAGAAGTTGCTCATGTTGTCAGGTCTATCAAAGTTCACTTCTCTTAGTATAATCAATAGAGAAACATCTTTATTTGAGCTATTGCAGAAGTTGCTCATGTTGTCAGGTCAATCAAAGTTCACTTCTCTTAGTATAATCAATAGAGAAACACCTTTATTTGAGCTAACAGGGAGAAGTTGCTCATGTTGTCAGGTCGATTAAAGTTCACTTAGTATAATCAATAGAGAAACGCCTTTATTTGAGCTAACAGGGAGAATCGCCAAGTTCTTGAAAATACATCGACACTCTGAAAGTCTTCAATTGTTCTTTGATTGATCTCTACTTAGTTTCGTCGGCAAAAATTTTCTGGCTGCATTTGAAGGTTAAAATGATTTCAGGTTGACAGAATTGGTGTAATAGCCTCGCTCTAAATAAGAACTAAGATTCAATTTTTTTTTGGTTGAGGCTTTTTAGCAAGCCCCTTAGAATGTTTTTTACTCAGCGAGCATTTTCTATTATCTTTTACTTCGTGTTCTAATCAATGTTTAGTATTATTCATGTAACGTCATTGAGTTTGTATTGTTTTCGCTAGTTTGTTATCATGCGAGATGTGGAAAAGTCATGTTTAAGCCTTATGTTGTTGACGGTCACTCGTTGCCAGACCTCAAGGGACAAAAGCTTTGACGCCAGTCAATGTATCCTAACACATGTATGGGTAAGCAGTTCTAACTGCAGAGTTTCGTCGTCCTCCGACAGAACTCTTCGCCCCACGACTTGCAAGCGTGTGTAATTTGTCGTAAATGTGATGTAAAGTTGATGCCTATCGTACGTTTAACAGAAATCCAGAGAATACGAGAAGGCGGAGAACCTGCAGATGTCAACACCGAGGGCTTCAGAGAAGACAGTCCAGGAGCTGCTGCCACTGACGGCTGGACGGACGTCGACGAAGTTGGCTGTGTCGTCAAGACGGCTGGTGACGAGGCGGCAGGGCTTGTCAAGGTTGACGCTGACGAGGCTGCTAGTTCCGTAACGACGGACGTCAAGCCGACTCTGAAAAGTCTATCCGTGGCTGACAAATTATTGGACGAAATCCTCTTCTACTCTCAGAAGAAAACTTGTCCCGCTTTAGATGCGTGAGTGTTCTTCATTTGGAATGAATATTATGCATTATTTATTCTCTCGCATTTTATTTATTTTCGAATTTATGCGCATTGTATTTCGGCAAGATGAGTACATTTTTAGAAGTGTCGTAAATTCACGTAGCTATGTAGAGTGCCAGGTATTTGCATGCGAAAATATTTCAATTGCAGCTTGTTTTTCTTTCCTAGCATGAATATTTATTGTGAAAATTCTCTAGTGCAGTTTTAAGAGATTTAATATTCTCCAACACAGATACGTGAAGAACGTCATAACCCCAGAACTAAACAGCAACCTTGAGCTGATGCTCTCGGACTTGGTGCGATTCCAGAGGCGCCAATATGCAACAGAACCCATCAAAGCTAAGGCCAAGCGCCGCTATATCTGCGGCATCAAAGAAACCACCAAAAAAATGGAGAAAATACGTCTTTTGGTTGTAGCTCCAGACCCCGACATGTGGAAAAGCTCGCCCGTTGTGGTCGAGAGCTTGTCCGTACTTCTCCAACGAGCAGAAAGCTTACAAATTCCCGTGATCTTTGGGTTGTCTCGTACGAAGCTCGCTAGAGTGTGTCGGACTATTAAAAACAGGCGAGTGAGTTGTGTGGGCGTCTTGAACTACCAAGGAGCTGAGGAGCATGCTAATGCTATCCTTGCGTTACTTCCAGAACTTAAAAAACAATGGTTGCTTAGAAATGACCCCAAAAAAGTTACTAAATGTGAACCTTCTTGCCAGTCCCTAGCTTCGTGTTCCGATGCAGCTCATGTGCGCGAAAATGCGGCTGCTAAAAATCACACACTTTCTAGAGGCAAGAATGGGATTGCCAAGAATTGTAACGCTGCGGATTCCTCAACATTGGTCTCCCAGAAAATTCTAGACATTCTCAGAAAAGAGGCCGAGTCAAGTTGATGGTGAACCTTGGAGTGATCTACGTTGTTCGTTGGTGTTTCCTTATGTTGTGGTGTATGTATTGGGAGTGCTAAACGTGTGACATTACCAATTTCGTGTTGGGCTTAGCTAGGTCTTTATTTCAAGTTGACGTCTGAGAGTGTGCTCATCGTGTTATTTTCACTTTAATGCACAGTGTACATTTAAGAGTATTTCCTGCTGAACTGCGTATTTATATATATGTGTTTTGGCGCGAACTGTTTCTTGTAGAGTCGTAGTGTCTGCACGGCACTGGACTGGCTCGGCATAATATATCAGTTTTAGAGGGTATATTTCTGACAAGTCAGGCTTAGGATACAGCCAATGGAGTATTTACAAGGGTTAATTTTTACTTATTATTTCATTATTTTCTGCATACTAGTAGGATAAATCAAGTTGTAGCGGTTAGCGTGGCTACGTTTAACTGAATTCTGCTTCGGTTTGGTGGTCAAACTAACAATGCTTACAAGAGTTCAAGCTCGATTTGTTCTGCAATTTAATATCGTTCTAGAGTGCGAAACAATGGTTATTCTTCCTCGATTTTTGTCGTTTACTTTGGAATTATTTAGTTTACTCAACGCGACCTATCGATAGTAAAATTTTTCAAATTGTAGATTTTGTACATGGAAGTCTGTTTGCTTATTACTGGACTTGCATCATATTTTCGAACGGCGTTGCGAACATGTCTGTTCTATCATTTATTGATACCGTCTGTTCTATCATTTATTGATACTGTCTGTTCTGTCATTTATTGATACTGTCTGTTCTGTCATTTATTGGTACTGTCTGTTCTGTCATTTTTTGATACTGTCTGTTCTATCATTTATTGATACTGTCTGTTCTGTCATTTCTTAATACTGTCAGTGTGCATTACGTCACCAACACAGCAGGTCTTAAAAATTTATTAAGGAACAATGGTAAGAAGTCGAAATTATCTATTCTGGTTATTTGTCAGCACTCAATTGTCTTGTTTTTGTCTTCGCTCTTATCTATACAAATCGGGGGTCGTTTTGCGTTTCTGAAGATTGCTATTTCGGTTTTTGGAAATAGGCTGTTTTTTTGAAGTTGCCAGAAAGAGGATCTTTGAATGGATCCTTTTTATGTGGCTGATTTTCCCTCCGATTCGAGGTTGCCCTTTGTACATTCGTTGGTGTAGTTTCGTTGATTAGTTCAAGCTTGGTGTCGCAATGCTCGTCGACCTTACCGATGTTTCGGTATTTATGTAAATCTCATCCCCTGTTGTTTGGACTGGTGTATGGAAATGTGCGTTTTCGAACGCAGTTTTGACTTGTTTAAATTTATAAAGAAAAGAAAATTAAACATGCTTACAGGAAATTTATTTTGTTCTGTTAGAAATAATTTGGGTATTCCATCGTTAACTTGCATGACAGCAATCTAATTTCTCGCACATGGAATGTTCATTTTGCCAAGCACCACCTCAAAAGCAAGAATTGTTATCTGGGTTCTGTTTAGGTTTAACGAACTGGTCAGTTCCTCTCGTACGACAATGGTTGGATGTATTTTTACGAGATACCCGCTATTTCCTGGAGGCAGAGCGGCTGCTGACACGTGTAGCGAAGTGGAGATAGAGCTTCTGTTCTCTTATTTCTAGCGCACAACGTACCAATTCGATGTGCTAATGAAAAAATCCTCCGCATTCGAGTTTTTGTCTATTAAAAGCCCATACTCTCAAAGAAAAGTTATGAGCAACATATTGTTTGCACACGGCTGCTCCGCTCAGCAGCGATAGCTAGAACTCTCGCCTCGCACGTTCCGCTGTCTGCTGCTACTGACATCTATCACTACAGTCACTACGCCTTGGCATGTATTCAGAATACTTTTGATGACACGAGTCTGAGTGAGCGTTAACAGTTCGAACGTTTCGCCTGAGTTGCTCCATTACGTTTCGTCAGCGTCGTAAATGTCCGAGTTACAACTTGACGTGTTGATCACAGGACTCACGCTTTATTATTTGCCTCCCTAATGTGCCCGTCAATTCTCTTGTGATATTTTGTTAATCTCTGTAAACATGAAGCTGTTTTGCAAATTCTTCGTGTCAAGATGCTATGAAAATTTTCATTACGGATATTTCCACCCAGATTATTATTTCCAGCAAGTCGTGTAGCCGACCTGCGTCGTCCGGTTAGCCCGCGGTAGGTTGGTATTACTTGCGATAGCTGGCCGCATATTTATTCTTGCTGTAACATTTGTCACCTTTGCATTATGCTACGCTAGTAATTATTTCCTACAAATCTAATCTTAGCTTGTCTATCGTAATTCTTGTGGGTTTTTGGAGTGTTGAGAGTGCGTGTGTCGCCAGTGTAGGGTCTTGATGCTGTCGCTGACTCGTGTTATTCGTACTAACGAATAGATTGAAAAATTTAGACAGTGCTTGCCTTTTGGCATGAAGGAATTCAGTTTAGATATAAGTGAAACTGTTGCCCTGTGATCCTATTACCTGTGCATTAGTCCTTGAATAGAGCCTGTTAATGTGAGCGCCTCTCGAGATATGTGGCTATTGATGCTTATTTGGGCGCCTGTCGAGTCGCTGCTAGTTCAATTCATAGGTCGCTCCAGAGACTGTCTTCATTAATTTGTTCCGCGTGCTATTAGCCTGTGTAATAATTAATACTACATTACTACTTACGAATGGAATACTTACAAATGGCTGTCAGTTCTTAAATCCCGATCATCTACTTGCTGACAAAGAATTTAGGAACATCCCGTGGCCCGTGCAGATCATGTGTGTGAATATCGTAAATTTTGACCGTTGCTCATTAATCTTGACTGCTTACATCCGGCATATTTATGTGTGTATTACAAAGGGAAAGGTTATTTTCTTGTTCATGTACCTGCTTATAGCTCATTTTCTTCTTCTAACATTTGAACGCACACAATGGAGAACATTTGTCGTATTTTGTGTGAATTTAGAGCTTGAAAGATCTCCTGAAGAATTCAAACTGCAATTGATATATTTCTGTTTTATAAGTCATAGATCAGTGCAAATTGAGTTCTTTATATCATGATGAGGTTATTGCATTACTATTAGTTGTATGTACAATAGTATATCTTATAATGAGTACGTAATGTGTGTTTTAGTGACGCAAATATATGGCGCCTCCAAGCCGGCGAAAGTTATTCTTTTGGATCTGGTGCGGCTCTGCTGCAAAATTTTTTTGCCCATATGTGTCATGTTATACATTGCCAGAAAGCAGCTAATCAACTGCTCTATCATATAATTGCGCTGTATGCGAGGTTTTGTAAATTTAAGAAATAGGAGGCATTTACGAGCAGCATTGGCCATATGGTGCGACGATGCAAGTTACGCTGCGATGACTAAAGGTTGAACGGAGCCATCGTGTTGGTCGCTGATGGAAATCTTCTCTGTCAGCCGTCAACCCAAGCTGTTGCCTAATTGCGCATTGAAAGCAAAGCAACTGCAACGGATTTAGCTAGCGTGGCGTCTCGTATTTTCTCTATATATCAAGTTTTTCAATATTGAAGTAATTTTTAGACTTAGTTGAAAACGACCTTGAGAAAGTTCTTCTACATCCGATATTGTATGGCGGAATTTTGAAAGCAAACGCCTTTAAATTAGTCAAGTTTATGGAGCGCCTAACATTGAATTTCGAATTGAATTGCTGCGCGTTATTTTTGCTAATTTTGTAAATATTTGCTCTTGTCTTGCACTAAGTGTGATGATTTCTTTCTTAAGTTGTTAAGCTGCGCCGTAAGCGGGCAAGCGCCTCGTTGGAATGCAAAAGGGCTTGAAAGATTAAGTGATCAAGTCTGAAAGCTTGTCCATGATAGCCTGTATGTTAGACAATTTAGTGTAGGTGTATTTACAAGACTTAAGACTAATTTGAATAATGCTCACCATGACAAAAGCAGCCTGCAAGCTGAACAGCGGAGACAAGTAGCTAATTCGATAAGTTATCTCTAGACATTTTTAATTTATGATTTGAATGTTATATATAGTCTCAGAGGGATGGTATTTTTGGTACGGCTCTAATCCTCGCACCCGTTCTGCATCAGGTCGCAAATTTTGCTCGGCTAGAATCGCTTTCGGTGCGTGCAAGAACCTGATGAATCTAAACTGAATTTGAGAAGAGGAGCGATAAAAAAATAACGTTATTTTTAACGCATGTTTCGATGGTTATCGTGTAGTCTATATATCCGCATCACATTTGTCACATGTTCCACCGCGCTGGTACGCGTTAGTGTCATCCTCCCACGTGTACGGTTAGTGGCGCTTGATAGTGTCAGGGGTTGGAGGCATGCTAGCCACCAATGTGGAGTGGCAGGGGTTGGAGGCATGCTAGCCACCAATGTGGAGTGGCGGGGGTTGGAGGCATGCTAGCCACCAATGAAGAGTGGCAGGGGTTGGAGGCATGCTAGCCACCAATGTGGAGTGGCAGTTAATGAGTGGCATTAAGACTTATACAAATCTCATCTCATGACGACTCCTGGTTGATGCTTGATATGGATCCTTATCATGTGAGGTAGGGATGTTCAACATGCTTGTGATCGTTATCATGTAAGGTATGTTCAGCATGCTTGTGATTGCATGTACTCACGAAGTTGCAGGATTCGGTCAGGTTGATATAATTGCACCTCATTTACATATAGCGTAATACTAATTATCAATCCGTGTGCAGCATTCACGCTTTACAACAAAGTTTTTCCTTATAAACCCACTCACTCAACCAAGTTCCTGTCTCACCACATGGTTTTTCTCTTTTTCTAGAATTATTATTAAAATATCATTAGTTTGTATCGTTGAGTAAGCACGTGTGGGATTGACGAAGGGACTTTAATTAACGGAATCTATGTTAAGTATATTCATGTAGCTTAAGAACCTGCCGAGTGTAATTCTCTGAGCTGTCTCTATAGTTATAATTTAGTTAGTTTTTTTTATAGAACTGCATAAAATATGACTGCTTCTCTGGTTGTGGGATTTTTTTCGCTATAAGTTTGTGCCTGATAGTTATTTTGTTGATGCCTTGTTACTTTCTTCATTTGTAGTACGTTATTTCTAGTTTGTTCATACGACACGACTTTTTTTCATTGCATCGGAAGCTTGGTGTGGAAATAAGCATGCACACTTTTCTTTTGTTAAATCGTTCAGGAATTGTGTCTTTAATTTTTAGCATTTAATTCTGTGTCTAATTTTTTGTGAGAGGACGGTAAATGTTCGTTAAGTGCCTGCGTAAATTTCCACGCGCACCATACTTCTTGTATGACTTTCATTCTATAAGTATTGCGGAATTCATTATCATGATACATAACGTTCTCTGTTAAATCATATCCGAATTTGCCACTAGTGTCGCGTGTCATTTAGTACAATTAACTTTCATTCACGGTTTTCCGAATGAAAAAGTGTCGCGTATGATCGCTTATGCGGTCATAGGAACAGGCGACACGACGATGTCCCTCGTGTTCACGTTTCAACCATGACCGCTTCATTAGTATGTCTCATGTTCCCTCAAACTGCGAAGGTATCCCCTTGTTACGCCAAATCAGTGTGTCAGCTAACATTAACTTCAAGGATCTCTCGTTTGCGTTCAAGTATTGTTGTTTTCATGCTGCACTGGAGCAGCGCAATAGAGCTAAAGACGAAACTGTGGTCCCAGATAAAAACTAACGAGCCGTTTAAGGTTACAATTCCTAAATTTTTTGCACGTACATTTATTCCAGGGACCTTCGTTTGATGCTAGCACGTAAAAACTGCTGCAAGAAAACTATCGAGCTGCTCGCATTTATTAGGAAAGACACATCGGTTATTGTTTCCTGCTGAGCAGCCACCTGATATCTGGCTGAGCATAAATTTACAGGATCTTTGATCACATGTGAGTGTAGCTCTTGGCGACACAGGCCATCGTCGATCGTTCTTATTTGCGTCGTTCTCGCGTCAGCGGCTTAGAGTTGCTTGCACATGGTGTGTCAAATTGCAGTTTATTTTCTTGTTACTGTTTGAAAACTCGTTCTTTATCCTAACCTTCGATGAATTTCCCAGTCATTAATTCAATTGAAGGTTACTCTGCATAACATAGCTCGTAGAACTTTGTGACAGCATTTAAATTATGTATTCCGTCGAACCTATAGCTCTCTGTACACTCACAAGCTGGAGAAGTCGTCAGAAATAATTATAGTTGATATTAGCCACGAGTATTTTTCTCAGTTCTACTGCTTATGCCGTCGAGCTGTCCGAGCTACACCTGACTCCACTCGTCTGCAACGCTTTAATAATTCTTACTGTTAATAATGCTTGATTCCACACAGTTAGTGTCCGCTCCCAGCAATAATTCGTTAAACACTTAAAATTAATCAAATTCGCATTGTAGTTTGATTTTATGGAAACCTGAGCTGTAATCAGCTTTCCTCACCATGCTTGCAAAAAATATTTTTGTGCGTTTGTTTTCAAAAGTTTAGTGTTTAATTTGAAGGCTGCGATGTGACTATAGGACTTGCGTGCTGTTATCACATATTGTGATCGGCAGCCAACTTAATTTTTTCATTTGCTTGAACCTATTCTAGGCAAGTGTCCATATTACAGCATTGTAGTAGACCATAATTTAGCTGCCTTCTCTAATCTACATATAACGCGATCGAATTAAGGTAAATGGATATTTTTTCAATTGGCTAATAGTTGTTGATTATTTACAAATAAATTATCTATGTCAATTGCCTCGATGTCTCGTACGCTTGATCTCACTAATTTTTTTTCTCCAATACCGTCGAATAATTCCTGCTCAATGCCAAACTTATGTATTGTGAGCCTCTAAATCTCTACACTAATGCAGGATAGTTTTGGATCCTTCGGGTAGAGGTCAATGCACATCTCGGGTATACGGTGTCGTATTCAGATCATTTATTGAATTTATACGTGTTGGCGCTTTGTAATTAGCGTGAATAAAACTCGCTTGATGGATGCCACACAATATTTCTGCACATCTTCTGACGAATTTCTTTGTCCAAAAGTGTAGGAAATTAGACTGGCCATTAGTCGATGTATCCAAATTCATCTCAATTTCTTTTTTCCTTCCATAGAATATTCTTTACATTAGGTCTTTACCTGGACTACGATCCTGAATATTATTGATTCTAGCTCTGAAGGAATATGCAGTGTAAAATTGCAAGAGATCTGAGCCTTGAAATGCAGTGTGTACAAGTGAGAACGAAGACCAGATTCTGTTAATGTATTTGACCGGGCTAAGTAATTTAGAGATTTGGTTGAAGCTTTGTGTTTGAGCTGCACAATGTTGTTTAGTGTGAAGGTACTTCGTATCCGCGAGCATCATGTCCTTAACTCGGCTTGTGCTAATCGCTCTTCAAATGTTTGCCAAGTTGGATCGTGTGTGCCTAAATTCCTATTCATTAAATGACTATTTATTCTGGCCAAAAAACTGGCACAATGTAGAATTTATCTACACGCTCGCGCGATGAATTGATTCAAGTTGTACTTGAGTAGTTTAGCTATATCATTTATTCCGTAGCTTTCTTCATCAAACATGCACTCCATTGCTACTTATGGTATCACCCGCATTAATTCTGAACTGTAACCGTTAACAAGAGCAAAATTATCGAAGCATGAAGAGATGTTTTAAAGTAACGATGAAATTTTCAGACGTTTCAAGCTGAGTGTTCGCTTCAATACTGCCCATGGATAGATATCTCACCTGACGCATGGTTACTTGCCTGATGTGTTTATTGATCACTATATTTAAAGATATATTGCTTTCTCTATAGTTGGTATCCACTACACTAGATAGAAATGTCGTTTGGCTATTACTATGTAAGCAAGAACTGGATCCTTAGTGTGTTTCATGATGTGTATACAGCTCTTTGTGTTTTATATCCATTGTTGAGTATATTTTGAACGAAAAATGTCAAGCAAGTTTTATTTTTCCTTTAAAAATTTTTTAATTATTTTCTGGACTGAATCTTCCAGTTGGACAGGAAATTTTAGAACTTAAGTGCAGCTTTGCTTATCAAATGGTTGGATTTAATAGCATTTCATGACGCTCATTTTCTCTTGGTCGGGCTGATCTAGAACTACTCTTGTAAAATGTATGCCTTGCATCAAACTAGTGCCAAGACGAACACCGAACAGCCATTCATGATGCGAATGCCAGACAGCCAATTTTGGCGGAAATTTGCCGCTTCAACTCGTTCTTAATTTTTGTATTAGGACATTTTTTTGAACCCTTGGTTGAGCTTGCAAACACGTTGTGACATACTAATTAAGCCTTTAGCACGTATTTCTTCACCCGCTTGTCGTTTCACTGATTATTGTTTCAATTAACTCCGAATAGATATTTTTGAGAAGTGTCCCATGTTATCGCCCGTCTATCAAATTTGGCTGATTTAGGCGCGAGTTAGTGCTGAAGTTACGAGGTTTTTTTTTTTGCAGCTCCAGATTTCGCCATGTAATGAGAATTCTTTCGAAGTTGTTCGCACACTTCTGGCATCCAAAATAAGAATCAAGAGTCCACGAATTAAACGTTATGTTTTTAATTAAAATTCGAAACAAATGCCTCAAGGGGACGTTTACTGAGCGTCCAAGGGCCTGGCACACCCTGGGCACCTTAGCCGTTTTGAAGCGCCGTGACGACTGCGTTAACTCTTTTTTCTGTTCGAAGTTATTAAATCACATTGAGCGCATGTGAAGCGGATGGGGCTGATTGAAATTATTTGTCTATCTTTAAACACATGAAAGAACTCCCAGTGAATACTTACGATTTTTTTGTGGTCAATCAGCTTCCGTTTCACTTTCTCAAACGGTTCGCTAAAACATTCGTATGTTTTGAAAATAATTGCACTTTACGAGCATTATTTAACTAGAATTGTACAACATAAGTGGCCGTCTTAGACGCTGCTGGCGGCATGGACGCCAACCAAAACTTCCAAATCAGACCGCCAGCTAAAGAAAAGTGAGTGAGTAGTTAAATGTCGTCAGATATTTTTGGAGACCAGTTCCATATTCAGTTTAAAATTAGTAAATACATGTACAATCAACAGGCCAACTTTTAACAGTAAAGTAATAAACTTAAATAGCCAGTTTAACACGCTAAGCAACGTTAAAAAGCTGTCGATTTGTAATTTTAAGTGGAAAAGAAGCGTTATCACAGGTTTATCAAGATCCGTTTATGATTTTTTATTGTTAAGTGTATTTACACAGCTTAGACTTTCATATGGCTTGTGGGTTTTTATCTCTTCTCTGTAAATCTGGTCATTCTGTTTATTAAATGAACTGATGATGGTGCTGGTCTCCGAAATGTTTCCAATGATACCATGGTGAATTTACTTGGCACTTATTTGCCAGATTGAGTTTTGACTTGAGTACGATTCCTGTGTAAAGCCGTGGCTGCTATAAATGCAGAAATATTTCGATTATTTTGTTTGAGCTATGTTTAGTGTGTGTTGAGCAGGCTGCGCGCAAGCGTGGTGAAGGAGATCCTACACACAGTAATGGTGGAGCAGTTGTCTGAGTATCGCTACGACGAACACAACGCTGACGAGACCGTCAACTGCCTCGTGGAGAGCATCAGGGAGCGGCTGTGTAGTGAGAACAGCTTATATTGTGTGTGATGAATGTTTGGTGGCCCAGTGGTTACAATTCAGCAGAGTTCCAAGATTGGCGCAGAGAGGCGCGGGTTCGATCCCAGCTCTGAGCGCCAGTTTCTGGTCGCAATCGGCGAGGAGGCCGGGCGGTTAAGCGCAGCAGAATTGTAGCAGCGAGTTGCGAGTTCGAGACCGCAAAATGCTGTGAATGTTCTGCGATGTTAAGAATCGGCGACAGGCCTATGGCCTACTAAACGCTGAAACAGTTATATTATATTATATTGCTTGCCTTATTCAAGTTATCCTTGTTTACTTCTTAGAGTGTGTCAGTAGAATGTCGTCGCGTAGGCACGGCGCTAAATTTAATCACGCAATTCACAGTTGGCTGACAGGGTAGAATTTCTCGTCATACTACATAATTCTAGTCGTACTAGATAATTTTAGTCTGATGAAAAAGATGTTCAGATAATTCTGAACTACGTTTTTCCCCTAGTCTTCATTGTCTTGAATCAATTTTATTGTCTTCCGAACACCTGTTTTTTCAACTTCTGAAAAAGCTATTATTATTTTTTTTTATTTATTCATCTGTAAAAATTGTGATCTCCAAAGCTTTACGGCGTCAATTTTCAGCATACAAATTAAGAATATTTTCCTGTGTGTAGAATCGACTTTTTTTTGATACTTGGAAAGATTCTCGTATTGTGATGGAAGTTCATGCAAGAGTGTGTGTGCAGAGGAGCTATCGGCGCTGCGCTACAAGGTCGTGGTGAACGCCGTCTTGGGAGAGCAACGTGGCGGAGGCGTGAAGATCGGCGCGCGGTGTCTCTGGGACACCGATACTGACAACAGCGTGCATGATAACTTCTTATCCGTGAGTATCATGTCTCGCAGGTGCTTGCTACCGTTGTAGTGTTAAGATTTCGTGTACTGACGCGTGCTTATTACGAATTAATTTCTCAGAATGTGACGGTGCGAGTAAAGGTTTAGGCCAGTCTCTTGGTTGTTATTTTTTTGCATAATATGTGTTACGAGCGTATTTACTGGTCCCTCTTGCAGGCAATGTCATTAATTACATTTTTTGCATAACCAGTGTTACTCTCGAGGCCCCAAATTTGTCATTGTGCCTAATTGAATAAAGTAATGCATGGCTAGCGGATATATTGGACTTACGCACATGTGTCTGCTCTTATGCAGGAGACGTTTTTCTGCTCTGCTGTTGTCTTTGGTGCGTACTTCTACTGAAAGTTTCGACAATGCAAGGTATCAGTCCCGCCTTCACATAGCACCTCACCACTGCTAGACTTGCTCTCCAGCATCACGTTACCACGGTCATCTTTTCTTCACTATTGACATCATTTTACATCTGAATCACGCACGTGCCTTTCCAATCCAACCGACTTCGTAACTGTGTGCTCTGAATATTAAAGTTCAAGGATAATCTGCAGTGGTGATTAAAGTTAAGCACATATGAGATTTTTACAATACTGTTGTTTACCAAGCGGCTAGTTTATTTGAGCGAGGTAATTTTCCTAGCTTAGATGTATTTTGTTCTCTGGAGAGCATTTTATTTTTTTTGTACCTGGTTTTCATTAAATAGATAAACTAAGATTATTTATTTCATAGTTTACGTTCATTATTGAACGGATGTGTTGTATTTATTTATTAGCTATCATGTTCTAGGTATGTATCTACGGATGCTTGTATAGGAATGCCACAACAGAAGTTATTTTCCAGCAAGCTTATCTACATTACAAGTTGGCATTATCTCCGTCCAGATTTGAATGTATTTTAAGTATATACTTTACTTATGCAGCTGATTAAGTTATTAAAGCTAGTCTTGAATAAAGTTGACGTAATAATGTGCTCACGTTGTTGTCTTTAGCTTACACTGAGTGTGCAATGAATGGCACACGCCAGTTTGCTCAATTGAACTACAAATATACACTAATGAGATTTTATGGCAAGAAACAAAGTTCACACTTCCGACTTACGTATTGGCTACGAGGGGCTGTCGCGGACTTCTCTGGGGATAAGAAAGGCAGTCTTAGTCACGGACTTCCTGTTTATTTGCCATCCACAGTGTAAGAAGGTGTAGTGAATTAGGGTCAAGTATGCGTTACTTAGACTTGAGAGTTGCGTTGCTCGATGCTCTAAAGTGAACGTTAAAATTGCAACGACTCAATTGACAGAAATATTGCAATATTTATAGTAGATAGTATATTTTGGTGCAGTGAATTCCGTTTGCTTTATAATGATCAAAACAATTCTATTTATAATCCTAAAAATTATAATGCATCAAATATTTCATATTGATACGAAAAGAAAAAAATGAACAACGGCGAGTTTCGGTCTACGTTTCCCACTAAATATATTCATTTATTAAATGACATCACGAAATATTACGACTGCGAGGCTTTTTAAAAGGTGAGAAGATACCCACATCCATCCCGTAGCACGGAACAACCAATATAATCGTCTTTGGTGCTAGTCAGAATGTTAGAAACATTTCTATGAGAGTCGCAACATTTATTTTCAACCTGGAGCATCAATAATTTGTTTCACTGTACATCTAATTACACTCCTCCATCCACGTCCCCGGAAGGAGGGGACATGACGCGCCATCAAAAATGGCGCGTACTGCGGTATTAATTTCACGAGAAGGCAACTCGACAAGACGCGTGTATCTTCATGAAGCACGCAAGAACAGGGAGTCCTACATCAGCGACAAGCGCTCGCTGTATCGATCTCTTCCTACCGCGCGACACGTTAAAGGTTCCTGTTCGATGTTGCCGAGTATTATGTTTAGACATTAAAAAAAAATAGAATCAAGCTGAGTGAATTCATAGAGTCACTTTTAGAAGACACTTCAAGTTTAGTGAGTAGCAACAGAGAATACTGAACTCTCTTAAATCATCTTTATCTGAACATAAGCGTGAAATAGCATGAGATTCAAGTGAGGGCTTCATAGCTATGCCTGAAAAAGATGCGATAGTAGGTTAGGAATATCTACAGTGACGATAAGGTTTGTCCCTAACATGTGAGCACATAGTATGAATGTATGCGATGCTAATGACGATAGCCTCGATGAAATGCCAACTGTAACCAAAACTATAAATTGAAATGAAGGTGGAGAGTGAGGGCTCATCTTCAAATGTCAACGAGAAGCTGCACGTTGAAAAGCTCGGAAACCAAATTTAGTTTCCTCTTGGAAAAATACACCTTCTCTAATTTGCGACTTGCATTACGCTAGATTCTTGTGCAATAATTGAAACAAGCTAGCCGTGACATTAGCTCCTAGCTTTTAATTTGCGGTAGCATGAAAATAGGAGTATGAAAAACATACGCCCAGTTCCTGAGCCACCGTAACGTTTGGGAAGCTCAATCACAAATGTGGTGTACAGAAACCACGTCAAAATTTCAATAACATGCCGTCGAAGCTTAATTCGAGAATTTGATTGAAGCTTGGGAATTATTCCTAACTTTATATCAAATGAACTACATAAAATTCTTACAAATTAAATACAAGTAATAGCAACCCATCAACAGCAAATGTTCACAATCTGACCATTGCCAAGCTCGACAATCTAAATACTAAACATGAATGCTATATGCCTCTTGACATGAATTGAACTAAATTCTGAAGCAGAATTCAAACACAAAATACTTGTGACAATAAAAATGACTTTAAATTAGGACAAATACATTAAAGTAACTAGAGTAGCTGGGCGTATAAAAGAGCTGCTCAGCAATCAACAGTCATGGACGGAGGTCTAACTTGGTGAATTCTTGGCGACGCGCACGAAGCCGCTCGGTCTTCCCGGCTCATTCGACAACATAACAATAAATGAGAACATTTACACGAATAAAAAAGTAGAATTTACCTAGAATGAAAACATTCTCCATTAAAAATGCAACGAAAGGTAGTGAACATAATTTTGTTTATTCTAATTACATTATTCTGGGATGCCAGGAAGTAATTCTTGTTGCTTAAGAAAGTGATGACATGAACACGGAGCGATGAGGTTGACGTACAGAGAGCACGAGGCTCGTAAGGCTTCTCAAGCTGATCGTATACACACGAATGTCTATTGGGATATTGGAATATTAAGTACAAGAGTCGGCTACAAATTTAGTTACAAATTGAAGGAAAGTAATCACTTTGATACAGCTCCGTCATGAGTAAAATTAATCATATGTCGCGTAGTACCAAAAAAACTAAGAATCAAAATAGTTATTGCCACTCATTCGGGACTGAATGAGAAGAGATATGTAAATTTTAAAGGGAAAAACAATTCGGAACAAATGATAGAACAAAAGGAGGATACATAGGACGGAATATGTGCATGGTGGACAGATTTACATGGGATGGTAGAGAGTCAATTTTGAATCGTTTACGCATTCGAAGAGTTACGTGTATTTCTCAGAGGATAGATGCTAAAATTCGATTAAAAGGTATAAAGGTGAATAGTTGAAAGCGTAGAGCGCAAATATGAGGAGGAAATTCAGCACATGTATACGAGTGGACATTCAAAATTCGCAAAAATTGTGGTCAAAATGATATATATATCCACAACCAAAAAATCAAACAAATTTTAGAAACTCAGTTAAGCTTCCAAAAAACACAGTCCTCTTAAAACAGCAAAGGTAAAAGTAGAATAAAATTTTTATTTTGACACGCTCACTCCGCAGGAGTGTTGTCTTGCTGCACAATATCCTGAGCACATGACAGAGCATTAATTAAGCTATGATCTCACAACGCAATGCTAATCTATATTACTATATTAAAGAACGAATTTGTGAGTAAACGTGGCCTAGTAACACGTCTTACATGTCAAACTTCAAGAACTCTTCATGCGAAGTCGTTCTTGGGGAAAAATAGAGTAAATTCGTATAACATTTTTCAGATAAATTCTCAGAAGTTTTCCATAACACCATTGAATCTCAGAAAAAACATAGGTCTTTCTTCATCCTCCAAATAAGTTTTTAGTAAATTCGGCTGCATACAACTAGATATTGAATAATCAACAAAATATTATTAAAAGCCTCGTATGAGTCAAGGGAACATACAAGACAAATTAAGTTTTTATCATTCTATACAAATTCCAGTCGGGTAGATTATTTCTCGAAATAAAGCTATTTAAGTAATTTTCATCTACCTATTACAAAAATCTTCGAATGGATAGAATTAAAAAGCCCACTCCTAAAGCATCTGTCAACGACTACACATAAATTCAAATGTGCCCACAACCTTACCTGAAATTCAATAATCGAACGGTGAAATTTCTTATTCCAATGTATTTATTCGTTGAAATCGGCGAAGCTAAGATTAGGGTCTTGACCACCCGTGACAGGCACTCAGAGGGTGATGATAAGATACACGTTTTTTGGCTATAGAACCGTGCCAAATTGATCAATAAAATATACCTCGCTCATCTGTTAGATCCAAAATACTTGAAATGTTAGCCATTTCCTAGACGACATCAACATTCTTTAAACTTGTCTATACACGTGCAATTGATGACCAGAGAATACTTTTGAATAGAATTTCACCTGCGTTACCTTATATCTATTCAATGATGAAACGTCACTATGACTGCGGGGCTTTGTTATAGCTTATAAGATTGCGACGTTCATACCACGGCACGAAATCAATAAAAATGTCTTCGATGATCAAAATGTGCGAAAAATTACTATAAAAAATAGGAGTCCCTCTAATTTTTAAACCTGGCGTATCAATAACCGGTTTGATTGTAAATTTACGCACGTACCTCTAAATTTTACTCAAATGCATTCTCTGTACATTATTCGCATAAATACAATGAAGCAAATTGTGTCATCTAATTCTAATTTTTAAAGCTATGTACTCACAAACTCCGAGAAAATGGTATCAACTTTCAAGTCTGTAAAGGAATGATTATTCTACACAACTCGTAGTGGCTTGTGAGATGAAGAGCCTTGAGAACTACACGGTAACGTCTGCAATTGCGAACACATTTTTTCACCTTTGATGAACACTCAGCGGACGCATTGTAGTAAAATACGATACGGTGATACAGTGACGTATAGATATGACCATTGTTTTGCACACACTCGCCACCTCATGTCACGCCAGCCATAATGCCCTAAGAAACCAGTTTTACGCATCATTGCAACAAGTCCGGCGTTTGAACTAAAAAAATATAGTTGGACCAGAAAGAATTTAAAAAAGTTTATGATAACAAGAGAACAGTCATCACTTAACTTTCAAGAATAAAATTTTGCTTCAACGATATTGAAACTGACAACAGCTGATCTTTGGTCAAAGCAGTTTTCCACTCCTCATAGTCTGAAACTAAGCGATTCTAGAAATGAAGGCAGCAATGAGAGGGAATATTGCCACAAACATGTTTGACTTGCAACGGGAGATACGCGGGAGCAAATCTTATACCTACCAACCTTACGATACACTTCACATAACAGTTCATGCTCTGATAACACTTCTTTCCCTATAAATACCAATAACAGATGAACACAAACATTCCACCTAGATGACACTATCTAAGACGCAGTTGAAGTAGAACAAACAGAGGTTGGAAACGCAATAGTTCCACCGAATGCTAATTCGTAGTTCTCAAAACACTCGCTCCTAAATGTGCGATACAAGTTCATCAAGACGCAGATTCTCACTCAGCTACAGTAGACTAATAGTTCACAACGTGGATGACTGACTGCACATTGAACCAGCCAAAAATTAATAATCCACACAAAACAAGCCTTCACTAAAGTGACAGTTACTAGCAACAGAGGTCAGGCAGCTACCGTTGTAAATGAGGAGCAGAGTGACGGCGCATGGCAACTCGTCTCCAGTGACGTGACCACGAGTACACGCATAGCACACAAGTGGCAGAGCTGCAATCTGGTGATTCATGGTGCGGTGACGAAAATTAATTGAAGAATCTGAAAAAAACGACTCCCATATACTTAAAATTTAACTAATCTACAGTCTTATATTATGCAAAGAAAAAGCTAGGAGCAGATTTCACAACAGATATCTTCGGAATAGGGAGGAGTGAGCGAAGAACTCCCCAAATTGAATGGTAAATAATAAGTTGTAACAAAATTGGGATTTCAAGCACACACTAACGTCATAGAATTTGAGCTATTGTTTCAGCAGCAATGAATGTTAGAAAGCCCATGTTGGATGCAATGTTGTTGTAGAATAAAGATTAATGAGATATATATACATGGATCGAATGAAAACCTATGCGTTTAATCAAGTTTCCATTGAGGTTACATTGCGGCCTACGGGAAGACTGAAGGACAGCCAAATGCTTGGTCTTTCATATGTCCGGCGGCGGCCTGACGCGGCAAGTGTGACTAAGGCAAGCGATGTTGCACACAATCTTTTCGTAATAACCAACATAGAAAGATGCGGCCGACGTTAATGTTTCCCTATATTACTCAGGGAGTTTTGGTCAAATTGCTTGGCGTTCAAATTCCACTTAAATATACTATACCATACCAACGACATTAATGGGATTAAATTAGGCCAAACGCTTCAATATTCTTAATGTAGGAGGCGAGTCAAGGTTCTATCGCTCCTTGTATCCACTCGAATCTGTCAAAACCACAACGTCCCCAACATAGATCATAATTCAATTCTTTACTAACTATGGCTTGCATCACTAATTTTTGTTATGAAATATTTTTTTTTAGATAATAACGCGATTTCACTTTTCTTCTTTGACGTCCTTCAGATACTAGAACCCAAAAGTATTTTCAAAGGAAACTCACCAGGCAATGCGGCAGGATCAATAGTTGTCCCGGCGAGGACGCTGCGTAAGGCTAAGCTTCTGTTGGATGGCCATCCTAAGAAGGGAGTTCAGGGTTTTCTTTTCTTCTTCAGCCGCCATCAACTGCCGCTGCGCTTCGTCCAACTGAGTGACGTATTCCTCACACCGAGCCCCGAACATCGAGCGTAAACCTGTAATTAATAATTCCGTGGTCATACAACTAAAACAGGCATCAAATCAGACGGACAGACATTACAGACTAACAAATGACAATGTTTGAGGCCTCATGCTCCCTCTTATAGAAAAAGACAAATTGATTACTAAACGCGAAGATAAATACAGCAAAATTGCTGAGTTGAATACTTTCCAGCAAGGAAAAAACGACCGCATGAGGTCGACCGGACACAGCAGCGAGGTGCCCCTCAAGTATATGCTTACTTCATGATTCCCTTGTCTTAAAGAATTCACTTAATCTTGTATGATTTATTGCTGTCTTTCAAAGTGCGCTTTTGGATTCATGTAATATACTTAGTGCAAATTGTATGAAGCTCCCATAGAATTAACCGGCACCTCTTTATGCCGTAGGCTTTGTGATAAGAAACTTGGCTTTGTTCTGCAGATGAGCTTATTAATATGATGAACAGCGACGCTTATGTGCAAAGCTTGCAGGAAATTTCAAACAAATAACGGGAAACCAAGGAATCTTCTGCTGAGACAAGTTTCACCTTCATATTAAATAGCAAAATGCAGTCCTGCTTGGACGTGGAATAGCACACGAATTCGTTTTCAGCCTACTTCGTCCAGCCACTATAACCGCGCACGGCAGCCGGGGGTTTTGCCGTAGCCACGACCGTGCACGCTAGCATTAGTAGATGTTCCCCGGTCACGCCAGTAGTAGTAGAATGGTTTACTATTGCTTCAGCTATTAAGCTATTTCGCACCGGAGGTAAAAAAAAATAACGTCGCCCGACAAGGCAGAAGGTCTCAGTTATTTAAAGTCTCAAATTAATCATAATCCACTAGGGGCGGAAAGTCTCAGCTGTCCAGCCCGCTGAAGCTGACTCGAAAGAAGCAGCGTTAGCATCTCAAAGAGACGAAGTGACAAGGAGGGACAGGTTGAAAGCAGCAGAAACGAAGACACTCGAACAAGAGGTCGCTTACATGGGAGAAACAGAGAAAGGGGAAATGGAAGGAATCCTACCTACATAATAACTCGATGTAAGGAATCCTATACCTACATAATAACTTGATGAAAGGAATCCTACATAATAAATGCAAGGAATCCTACTTACATAATAACTTGACCCCACAACTGAGACACGCAGTCAGACACCGCGAGCTCAGCGGTGGGGCGCTCAGGAACAATCCCCGTAGGAGCGCAAAATCCCATAGGACTTCTGACGAGCACAGACGCGCGTCAGAAGTCCCCCCTGAGGGGGGTCACGCCAGAAAACCCGCCCCGCGCAGGAGAGCCGCCACCCGAGCCGGTTCAGACCAAAGCTGTTCGCTGGATGTTATGCCGCTCCGGAGCCTGGGTGCTGTCAGCTCCGGGCACTCAAGCATAAGATGCTTGACGGTGTGGGGGAGTGCATGACACTACTGGATGGCATAGGTTCGAGTGAGTGCTGTCCAGGCAGTGTTTGTAGGAGTATAGTGAGGGATAGTGACCCCAGCGGAATCTGCTGAAGTGCACCTTGTCTGCACGGTTTAACGCTGTTCTGTATGGCTGATGTCTGGTGGTATGTCGTCTATGATGTTGTTGATTGGAAGATTAGGGAGTGGGTTCCGGGTTGGATGTGCGTGTATATGTTTGATAAAGTTGGCTGGGTTTGTTGGCGGGATAAAGGAGTTGAATTTTGTGAGATAGTAGTTGTATGAAGTGTTAGCTATTGGTCTGGGTGTACGGGCTAAATGCTCAAGGGTGGTGGCAGGGGCGGGGGTTGTAAAGTGCCGATTCAAGCAATTTGGTGCCTCTCATATGTGTGGTCTGGGTGCTGCCAAGTGCGATTCTGAGTGCTGTGTTTTGAATGGTTTGTAGGTGGTTGTGAAGTGTGGGTGAAATAATAGGTGCCTAGGCTGATACGGGCATAGTCCAGCACTGAGTGTATATATTGTTTGTACACTAGTGCGAGAGTTTCTTTGTTTTATCCGAATGTTGTTCCTGTGAGGGCTGAGTGTGTTTAGCCTAGGTCTGCGATTTGTTTTTATTTGTTGTATGTGTAGCCCAAAAGACATAGAAGTGTTGTAAGTGACACCTAGAATCTTGGTTTCATGTGTGTGTGGTATGATGGTGTTGTTTAGTGGGACTGTGGGTCTGTTTTGATGCTCCTTTGTGTGGCTTGTTAGTAGCGTGCATGTTGATTTCGTGGGGGCTACTTTGAGTCAGTTGCGTGCTAGCCAGCCCTCTAGTTGTGTGTTGTAGGGTTGTACTTGTATGGAGCATGTGTTTGCATTGGTGTGTGTTGATGTAATTGTGATGTCGTAAGATGAAGTGTGAATATTGTCGGGTGGGGCTGGGATATCATGCATGTAAACGTTAAAAAGGGTTGGCGAGAGGACTGATCCTAGGTGTACTCCATGGGGTATGTTCCTTGTGTGTGATGATTTGCCATTGTAGTGTACGAGTGACTGTCTGCTTGTTAAGTAGTTGGCAATGCAGCGTCTGGTGTCATGTAGTATTGTATTGCAGATTTTGTCTGTCAGTGGGAGGCGCGAGATGGTATCAAAGGCTCTGCTAATGTCTATTGTAATCAGGAGTATGCGATGTGCAGGGCGTTTGGAATTAATGTCATCTTGTATACGTTGTGTGAGGTTGGTGAGGACTGTGGTGGTGGAGTGATGGGTCCTTTAACCGTGTTGTGTGGGTTAGAGGGGAATGTGGAGCGTGGTTATGGAGAGTATGAGGCGCTCCATAAGTTTGGATGGCGAGCAGAGGAGTGTAATGGGACTGTAGGAGGCTGCCTTGGTGGGGGGTTTGTTTGGTTTCAGGAGGGTTATGATTTTGCTAGTTTTCCAGCTTGATGGTATGATGCAGTGGGCGTATGGAAAGTTAGCAATATTGTTGAGAGTGGTGACATCTAGGTGTTAGTTTGGAATGGATGAGGTATTTTGAGAGTGCCTGAGGTTTGTCTCTTGTATGATGGCGACGTGAATTTTGATAGAGTGCATGAATTGTTCGAGTCCGACGTGCTTAGTGCAGAGGATATCAGTGTTGAGTTGTAGGATGTTGAGTTGTAGGATGTTGAGGAGAAGGTACAGGCAGCAGGCCGCCTGGTCTCCAAGTTTTCCATCAGAAAAAACGTTGGTCCAGGCCAAACGGGTAGCGCCTCCCAGGACGCAACACCCTGGGGAACCATCCCCCCACGGCTCCCCAGTGAGGGTGAAGTTGAGGCTCCCAGGTGAGGCCCTCCCAGAAGGGTGTCGTCACGACGTAGACACGCGTCCAATGTACGCTAGTTGGAGGTTTTACCGAAGCCACAACTACTGAACACGGTATTTGGAGGTTCGACCTTAGCCAAAACGAGTGTTCACGGTAATTCGTATTCCGGCAAGATCAGACGTCAACTACACATCAAATGTAAAACGAACTCTAAGAAAACAATCAACGTCGCAGAAGCTCCGAGCTAAGTTCTCGAGAGTGTGAAAGGCTAAAATTATTATAGGCAGACGTGCTTGGATAATTCGCACTGCAGCGCAAATTCTGCCGAATATTGCCCCGCATCCGAAATAAGACTACACGAACTGTGCCGAGAGCGTCGTGACCTTCATGTGAGAACCGAGCCAAGTGCCACTACCGGTCGTGACTGCAACTGCATTTACATCCATAGAAGACCCGGTGAAATGCTCAATAATCAGCGTCTTTCGTCTGACAATATTATAAGAAATTTTCTTTGTGTATCATTGACCATCCTGTGCATTTACATCGGTTCAACGCTAAACCAAGAGAACTCTAATTAAAAACGCCAGCAGACCGGTATCTTGGAATTGCAGCCACGCTGCCTAGCAAATAAAAATTCCGATCAATATAAAAATTTTGACAAGTCGAAGGAAAAAATTAATTTATAAATTTCTATTGAGAAAGCAAAAGTGAACTTGCTTGAGAAAGTAGCAGCATCTTCCTTGAGGTGCCGGAGTTCATTGCGCAGTTTCATCATGGCTTCCGACACAATCGTCTTCTCGGTGTCATACTTGGATTTCAGGTTTGTCAGTGCAACCTGAGAATGAAAAAGCAAACAGAAATGAGACTGGATGGATCCTTCGTTTGCCTACGAAATGCCTAACATGTTAAGTAATGAGAAATAATGCAATCCCCAACGACGATGTCAAATGGTAAGGAAATGACGTTGGAATCTTTGAGTTAAGTTACCTCAGCAGTTTGTTTGTTGGCCTTGAGCACAGTCCTGAGGGTGGCGATCTGCTCCCGCTTGACGGACAGCAAAGCCTTCAGTTTGATCACCTGCTCCTGCAGCTCCTGGACCTCAATTTCACTCAAGCTTCCTGTAGCCATGAAAATAATTCACTCTTCGCACAAAATTACCCACAAATTTTGAGAATCGCTTAATAACATTATATTTTCTACTTTTTGCTCAAATATCAAATACTTATTTTAATAAAATATAAAAATATACCTATTTGATAATGATCTGCATCTTGGAACAGAAGTCGTCTTTGATGACTATTAAATTAGTATTAAATTCTGATAAGACCGAAGTGAACTGACCAGTTTCACCCAACGCTTCAGATGTCTGCTGCTGATGATGCAGCTGCTGCTTGCTGCTGTCGATGGTGTGCTGCACAGCACGTCGCAGATGCCGTACCTGGTCTTGTATTGTGTCTGTCACAGCCCGTAAATCACCGGGACAATATTCTTTCTGTGAAGGGAGAAAAAGATCATCTTTAATTCTCGCAATACCTACATCAAGTAGGCAAATCCTAAGAGTGCCTTTGTCTAGCCTCGTCGATTTGGAAGGTCAAACAAAATATTATGCTCATGAAAGAGTAATATAGAAAATGAAGAACCGCTATCATCACGGAGAAGAGAATCGTCACCTTTCTACCCTAAGGCTACTCGTTTTGCTCTAGTTTTTACCGCAAATCTTGCGACGCTGAATGTACAAGGTACTAGATGATATAGCCATCACGCCACGCGGTCACGATAGCAGAGAGCACTAGTTGGGCAACTTTAGGAATGATCAAATCCTGTATGTCAGTTTGAGCTGATGGATGTTTGACAAAGTCGAAACACTCGGTTATCCGTTGCAAATAAGGTCATTAATGAACTCGTAGTCAAACATCTGCGGCCTAAATTCAAATAATAAAAAATTAGAGCTCACATCGACGCTCAGGTTGACGTCAGTACGAAGTTTCGACCTCAACAACTCAAGCTGAGAAATGGCCACACTTGAGCTGTTGTTGCTGTTATTTTCCATTTTATCCGAGTCTGCATTGCTGTTATTTTCTGTGAAAAAAAGAGGAATAGTTGAAGTCTCTCCGATTTCATGCAATAAAAATACTACAATACAACTAGAAAAGAAAAAGAAATATCACTTATGTTCCCATGCCGGTAAGTTTTTATGCGCTTCATTACAATGGCTGACCCTGGTCGGTTGCTGTGCCCTTGCTGTGGTCGAGCATAACACGAGAAGGAGTTTGTCCGTTGACGGTGCACACGTGATGGTAGAGCTGAGCCAGCTCCTCTGACATGGCCCTGTCCGCATCAACATCAATTATACAATAACAATATATCTCGGCCAGACTAGCTCCTAATGCTTAAAAGATTTCAAGCCAATTTTTAGCTTCGACTGAGGAGCTCAGTGATTTTTTCTTCCACATTTTAACTTGGAGAGAAATGCACAGATAACGTTTGAACTTGGGAGACCATATTGAAACACATCAACCTTCAATATCTGAGCAAGTTTCTGTTGCAATTAAGCAAAGCGAGAGTTCAGTTCATGGAATATCAGCATCATGACTCCTGTTAGTAATAAATCTCTGAAAATTAGTGGCGCCTAATTTTATTATCCTGCAACCCAATGTCACATGTCACAATGATCATGTTATTGTTATCATAAATACATGGCTAATATATATAAATTTATCAATAAGTAGTGCGCAATTACACAATACTGGACTAGAAGAACAACTCACTGCAGTTGTGTGTGCGTTATAGACAAGGCGCCCTCTCGTGTGTTCATCATCTGGCACAGCAACTGAACGTCGTTCGACGCGTCCGCTTTGCGCTGTTCACTCTCCATAAGCTTGGATCGCAGTGATGAAACCTCATTCCTGTGTAGAATAAAATACTCAACATTCCTCAGATAAACTATGATGTCTTGATTATCCCTGAAATCGGACATAGTGTATGGACTTATTCATCTACTCCGAATAAGATATGACACATTGTTTCCTTCAAGACAATGTTGTATTAATCCATTGATATTATATTTAAATGACAAATTACACTACATTATCTTCTACACTCCAATTTGAATTATAGCCGTTTACTTTCTCCACCATAGCTGAGCTCTACCATTGATCATCTCTAAACACAGTGGGAAATTTTGCTCAATAGTTTTTTGCTGAAGTGTTGATTATAGTTTAGAATCTTTAAAATTGGTTATTAAACGATGGATCTGAAAAAAATGGGTGTTGTTTTTTTGGGGAAATTTAAAATAAATTTAATAGACGTAATCTCGATTAAGAGGCTTAAAGAAATGGCACCTGAGCTGCAGGAGGGCTTCTGAAGGCTGCGGTTGGTCGCTTTTCTGGAGGTCCTGCAGAGTTTGGTCCAACTCGGCCAGCTCCCTGGCAGCGACCTCGTAGCGCTGCTTCTGCTGCTCCAGTGCCTCGGTCATGGCGCTTTTTTCTTCATTGCTAATACTTATCTGCAAATTACCATCAAATTTATATAAAGCCACAGTAAACTGTGGTATATTAAACAGTACACAGTAAACAGTTACCACAGTACATTGTGGTATAGTATAAAACCATTAAGCAGGCCAAAAAGATAAAATTTATCACTAACAACAAATTTATCTTTACAAGTTTACAACATACTAAATAAATGTGATTGAAAACCAATAGTTCGTTGTGCAAATGAAATAGATTTTACAACACGTTTGAGCAAATCAGTTCCCTACATAATTACACTAGTTCTGGATGAAGCAATGATAGAAGCTACTTTCATTAGTCAGTATTAAATTAAAAAACTATTATTGGCTCTAAACCAACTCAGAGATCTTTTCGATCGTATTGCCATTTGAACAATAGAGGGAAATTTGAATGAATACTCGGATATCTAATCATCGTCGAGGACAGCAGAATAATTAATACATTAAGCAACTGTGATCAACTCTAATAATATAACTCATAACTGAACACAGCCCTAAGTTACTTTGTTGAGAGCGCCAGCAGTGTTGACGTGTAGTGTTTGTAATGCCGCCACGTGGCCGATGAGGCGAGTGATGTTGACGTGTTGAGCAGACACTTCAGCACGTGTCTTGTCCAGCGCCTCTTGCGTCTCACTCAGCATACTGTTCGTGCTGCTCTTCTCAACCTCCAGCTGTAAATATATATTTTTTATGAAACAGACTGAATTGTTGGAAATTTCATAAATATAAAACAATGTTCCTTTTACTTTGCATTATTATGGTATTCAAAATTTTATAATACATGCCTCGCTTGTAGCTCCAAAGAAAACTCAACTATTGAGATCCCATACTGAAGCCATATTTTTTGCCAAATGAAAGACTGAATCAGTATAAATATTGCAATTCTATTAAAATAACTTGATAGTTTACATGGAAAACATAAAGAAACCATGAATAATCTACATAAACACATGACTGAAGTCAAGTTGATCATAGAGCGCAGTTACCTCGCTGATTTTGGTCTCGAGTTTCTTGATTCTGTTGCCGTGTATCTCAGAGAAGAGGTCGCCTTCGCCCCCCTCAGGACCGGCGCCCCCCCGCGCCGCCTGCTGCTCCAGCAGCTCTGACTCGAGCTGCCGCAGCGCACCGGGTGTCTGCTCGTCGTCGTCACCACCATCCTCACCATCACCAAACTCAGAGCTGCCTGCGGGTCGAATGATTCAACTTATTATAGGTATATATATTCCAAGTACAGTCACCTAAAAGATTAATGTAGAAGATTGAGTCATTCAGTAATTTAATAAATGTTATAGTAATTTCCTTTTCTTTCAAGTTAGAACTGAATTGCCAAGGTTAATAAAAGAAGGAAATTCAAGTTTAGATTTTATTCCTAGCTGAAAACGCAAGACATATGTTGGAAGAAAAATTTATCGTATCATTACTAAAGAACTAAAAGAAGTAACAACAATAATGTTTTTTTTTTTTTTTTGCCATACGGTCACAGCAATGTACGCGATGGTAGATTCAGACACACAACAAACTTGATAGGGCATCATACAGACGAGGCCCACACAAAATCTTTTAACAAGCACATTTGAAATAAGCAGAATATAGATATTGATTCGGCATGGGCATACCTGAAAGTTTCATGGACATAGCAGCCAGGTTGGAGAGTGTATACATAGACTCCTTGTTGAGCCTCGTGTCAAGCTCTTTCTTGAGAGCGTACTTGGCTTCTCGTTCTGCTTGCAGCGAAATCAGAGCTTCCTCCATTTGCCGCTCAGCTATTTCACGAAGCTTCACCATGTCTTCCATCTTAAACGTTTATACAAGAGTTGTCACAAGTATTGACTTTTTTAGCACTGACCATGCAGGCACAAAAAATTTAAATGACATAAACATACCCACACACACCTACAATGCTACCGTAATGATAGAACTTTCTACCCATTTTCAATTTTCTTCACAAAATAGTAAAAATTACCAGTAAAAAAAAGTTCAATGGAAAAAAACTCCCACACTACGGTAAGAATATCTGCTGTACAGGCAACACGTGAGAAGGGGGGCTAGATAAAATAAAGTAAGCCTATTTATACCTAATGAGACTAGCAAACTATAGCTATAATATGTCATTATCTTCTTCTCACTGCAACTCACTTGTGAGTTGAGTACATCCACCTCTTCGGTGAGGCGCCGGATTTCATGTTTGGCACCTTCAAACTCGACTTGTGATGATCTGGAACCAATCATTTGTTCAATATCACAGAAGTTCTTATGAATTTTTCTATCAACTATGTTCAATTAACTGTGCTATTTAATTATTTACTCGCAAATAATATGTTATACCTAACTTTTTAATTAAAGGTTCTTGAAAATAGTATACTTTATCATTCCAGCAGGTGATTAATTTTGCGTCAAACAATTTATGGCTGGATTACATCTGGAAACAATTTTTGAAGAATTATAGTAGTAACTCATGCGTGTATATATATTTTTTTCCATTTTTTTCATTTTTCTGCAACTAACAGGATGCTATAGAAGGATAACAGGATGTTAAAGATTAGTTGAAGTCATACTTGAGGTTTGAGATTTGTTTCTGAAGAGAAATGTTCTCATCTTCCAGCTCAGAATAGTCCTGAAACAGACGCGTTTCTCGGAACTTAAGATCCTTGAGCTCCGCCTTGATCTGCATCTTCTCATGATCACTAATGTCCTTGGACCTGAGTATTTCTGCCAAATCATTGGCAAAGCGCTCCTTCTCACTCTGCACCCTCTCTAGCTCCAACCGCACCTTTGTTAACAAGAAAGGCAATATAATATACCAAATAAATAAATAGAAAAATTATAACATAAAACAAAACTTTGACTTTGATTTACTTTGACATTTTTAGTTACTTTAAACTATAATGTCACTAATAGTTAAAAAAATTAATTCAAAATTAAAATGGGTAAATTTTTGCTGTAATATGCTACAACTGAATAGAGGCAACTATGTAGCATAATTTGAAAACAATCAGGCTGCTTGATCAAAGAATTACTATACAGTATTCCATGCTAGACTGCTTGGTAAGCTAGATTGGCCTACCTGTTTTGCTTCTAGTTCCAGTTCTGCAATCTGAGAGTTAAGTGATGTCTCCCGAGCGGCTGATTCAGATATGAGGCTCTCTTCAGTCTCAATGCCACTTGCTGTTGCCACTCGATGAGTATTTTGGAACTTGGCCAAGGCCTGCAGGTTAAGAGGGATTTAATTAGTAAGGTAAAGAGGTTAATAACTTCAATAATCTAGAACATGTATAAGTAAAGTGCAATTTTCAGTACGGTATACCAAAAATCAATAATGAAGAGACAGATAATGCAATTACTTTTTAAAACTTGATGTTACATTTGAATGAGACCTTCAACTCCCATATCAAACACAAATAATTTTGGTCCAGAAGAATGGTATCTCAATTATATTATTTCCCATTACCTGAACATTAACAAGAATTGATGTCTAATAAATATCATAAAAATTGCAATGAAAATTTCACAGAAGACACTACAAACCTCTTGAGTAACAAGGAGTTCATGCTTAGTATTCTCATAGAGGGCCTCCAGCTGTTCACAACGAGTCTTAAGAGACTCCTTCTCCTCAAGCAGCACCAAGCCATACTGTGCAGCCTGGGTTTTCTGATTGCTGGTGTGATCAAGCTCATTGGTGAGACGCTCTATCTCAAGCTGTAAACTCTGTGGATCATCATTGATCTCCATTGAAAGAATTGAGCACTTGACAAAGCTCTGCCTCCCAGTGTTATAAAAACTCAATGGACATTAGAGGCTGCTAAATAATACTAAGTAGATCAACATTCAAATTCAGACCAGTTATTTCTAAAACAATTAAAATCATTGACAAAATGAGTGAACCAAATTATAAAAGTATAATAGCACCCTTCAAGAATGAAGCTAACAACATCAGAGGTTTTGTATTCTGAAAAAAGAAACAATATCATGAGAATGCATGAAAACAAAGAACATGGTATAAACCATCAAAGGAAGACTGGTGATCAAGTAAATTACATAAATAAAAAAATATACAAAAAATACCTCCTAAAAGGGATGCCAATACTGAAGTTAAATTCATAATATGAAAATTAAAAAAAAGCCTATGAGTAGTTCAGTTGCAGACTTGCAGATCCTGGTTGAACAAGGAATAGGTAAATAATCAATTACAAATTAAAGATATAGTGTTTCTTATCAAGTCTGAAGTTGGTCAAATTTGAATATAGGTACCTATATCAGGCATAGCAGTGATTCAAGTATATAGGAATATAACTTAAACTTAATATAACAACTTAAAAAAGCATAGTTAATAGTTGATAATGGATCAATCAATTAGAATCAATACATGGATCAATCAATCATTACTGCCCGTGTGGATTGACCAATCTACACTGCCATGCAGTGTACCAATCTACACTGGGCACCTGCTAGGGAAGCTGCCCACCTACCCACTTGGGCCGGGCTTTTTAACTTAAAAAAACCCATGGAGAGAGAGAGGTGGGTCTTGAAGAAAACTCAAGAATGCATCAAATCAATCAAGTGGTTTTGAACTTCAAAAACAATAATACTGTATACATATATATATGTATACAGTATTAAGCTACCAAGGAAATATCTATAAGGCTTTCTTAAACAAAAGCAGTCATCTCATATGTACCCTCAAATGGGGTAATATGCATCATTTTTTTTTTGTTTTGTTTTTCAATGATAACTTCTAACCATGAAACATTCCATAAACGAGTTTAGGCTCAATTTAAAGGTATTTGCAGGGGCAATTATACGGTGTTTCTGAAAAAATTCTGCATGCTACCATCAAACGGGATAATATGGGATGGTTTTGAGCTTTTTTTTGTTAATAACTTCTTACCATTAAACATTTCATAAACAAGTTTAGGCTTATTTTAAAGCTCTTTGCAAGGGCTATCAAATGGCATCTCCAAAAAAATTCCACATGCTATTGGTAAGGTGCCAGACACAAAATAAAAGCATCCCGAATTACCCCTGGAAAGTGGAAATAGGGTAATCTGGGAGACTTGAAATGAAACTCAATTTTAAAACGTTCGAAGCATGCAGAGTGTACTCATCCAATACTATCATCTTCCTTTGTAGATGATGTAGAATAAATGACATTTTCTGTGATTTCTACTTGTTTTTCCATTATTGATATACAGGGTGGAGCAGGGTAATTTGCTTTTTTGCACTGCATGCTGTGGTGGGCGGCATTGTCGGTCAAAGACAGGAGAGAGTGGGCGTGGCTTACAGTGGCTGATGAGAGATTTGTATTCCTCCGGCTTTCAGTTGCCATCATGCAGTGGACACGTGAGGAGAGGTCATTTTTTTGTAGAAGCGTATTTTTCAAATGCCCACTAGATCATTGCAGTGCAGAGTGCTTTTCATTTACAATTTGCTGTTCCTCCACGCGGACGTGTTCCTGGAAGACAATCAATTGTAAATTGGGTGAATGCATTCAGAACAGCAAGGAATGTGTCATGTCTACAAAGGGGACCTGAGAGAAGGATTACAACACCACAAAACATCGAGAGAGTTAGAGCAGCAGTGCTGCAATCTCCAAAACACTGCTCGGAAGCAATCATTTGCTCCTGGCATTTCAAGACATTCTCTCCACCAGATTCTTCATGATGAACTGAATTTTAACCCATATAAAATGTGCGTGGTCCCTCAATTGTCAGCATGGGACTATTTGGCACGGTGGACCTCTTGTAAAGACATTTTAGCAACTATACCTCATGACACAAATGTGTTTTTTCTGATGAGGCACATTTTCACCTCAGTGGGTGTGCAAAGAAACAAAATATGCATTACTGGAGGGAAGCAAACTCCAGAGAAGTTCATGAGAGACCTCTGCATTTGGACCGCGTCACTGTGTGGTGCGCCATATCATGAGTAGGCATCATTGGTCCTTACTTTTTTCAGGATAACAGTTGTGCCATAACTGAGAACTTCGAACAGTACTCATCCATGGTACAGGATTATTTTCAGCGAACTCTTGAGGCAATGGAATTAGAGGATACATTGTTCCAACAGGATGGTGTGAGGGAATGGCTTTTTGCTCCATGTATTTTGTGTTGCCATTCCTTTTCTCATGCATTTCTCCCTAATCCCTTGTGTCTCTTCTTGTTCCAGATCATCAATTATGATAAATAGCCTATGCACAGATTGTTTTCTGGATTGTTGCATGGTTATGTGATTTCAGCATGTTATATGGATCACCAGTTTGGTTGGTCTCAGTTGCCTAACAGTGCACAAATGAGCAGTGATTGGCAATTGGCAATAGTAATTGTTCTTCCAACTGCATTGATGTCTTGTGCACTCACTGCTTTGACTGTGATGCTGGAGGACCAGTGATCTCTTGTGCAGTGTATTTCAGTGGTTCCCTGTTAAGCCAGAATTGGAAATCTGAGGTCGGGAGAATAAGCAACCTTTGAGATTGTTCTCAACTGTGCTGAAAATTTACCTCTTTGCCAAGTGCAACCAATTGCTATTTTTATCTTGCTAAGTGTTTAGTCCAAGCAAGTGCAAGTGTTTATTCTTGGTGCAGTGTCAGTTAATCACAAGTTATACAAGCTGTGCTGCTGTGAACTGGTGAACCCTGAACCTTACCCTTGCCTCAGCCGTGAGAATGGACAGGATACCAAGAAGAGAAGAGTCCTTTGCTCAAGGACTGGCCATGGATCCTGGAAGTCTCTGGAACAAGCAAAATGTTTAGTGAGCCTATTGTTGTATAGGATTTTTACTGTTCCCTTTATAACGTTTTACTGATCATCAATATATTATAGGGTTTTAGGGTTCTTGCAATTTCTTTATTTATTGTGTTTCACCCATTCTCATTCCCGTGTATCACCATTACACTAACCCCTCATCATCATGTATCTCATTCAATTGTAAAATATGTGTGCACTTGTTTTAGAGTTCATTTAGTGGGATTGGTATTGTGTTTCATTGTCAATTGAATGGTAAATAATAAGTTGTAACAAAATTGGGATTTCAAGCACACACTAACGTCATAGAATTTGAGCTATTGTTTCAGCAGCAATGAATGTTAGAAAGCCCATGTTGGATGCAATGTTGTTGTAGAATAAAGATTAATGAGATATATATACATGGATCGAATGAAAACCTATGCGTTTAATTAAGTTTCCATTGAGGTTACATTGCGGCCTACGGGAAGACTGAAGGACAGCCAAATGCTTGGTCTTTCATATGTCCGGCGGCGGCCTGACGCGGCAAGTGTGACTAAGGCAAGCGATGTTGCACACAATCTTTTCGTAATAACCAACATAGAAAGATGCGGCCGACGTTAATGTTTCCCTATATTACTCAGGGAGTTTTGGTCAAATTGCTTGGCGTTCAAATTCCACTTAAATATACTATACCATACCAACGACATTAATGGGATTAAATTAGGCCAAACGCTTCAATATTCTTAATGTAGGAGGCGAGTCAAGGTTCTATCGCTCCTTGTATCCACTCGAATCTGTCAAAACCACAACGTCCCCAACATAGATCATAATTCAATTCTTTACTAACTATGGCTTGCATCACTAATTTTTGTTATGAAATATTTTTTTTAGATAATAACGCGATTTCACTTTTCTTCTTTGACGTCCTTCAGATACTAGAACCCAAAAGTATTTTCAAAGGAAACTCACCAGGCAATGCGGCAGGATCAATAGTTGTCCCGGCGAGGCGGGTAGTTGTGATGCGCAGGGGAGGTGTGAGCAATGTTATGGAACCGCGGCCCTCCCGCCGGCCCTGGCCCACCTCCACGCCCTCCTCGACCCGTGCTCGGGTGCTTGCGCAAGTTGAACCTGCTCATATAATACCTCTAATATACCTGCTCATATAACACCTCAAATATTCCTTCTAATATAACACCTCAAATATTCCTGCTAATATAATACCTTTGATATACCTGCTTGCAAAAACTTCTAATATACCTGCTCGCAAAACCTCTTATATACCTGCTTCAAGAAAATAAACTTGCAGTGCTTTGTTCCGAAGCTGGGTCGCAATAATGGATATCGGTTCGAGTCAATAATCTTACTTTGATAACATAAAAACTCCACCAATGACTTCCAACCAAGACTCAATGATCCCACATTAAACGATTTGAAAAATGTGAGAACAAATCAAAAGATGACCACAGTTCGAGTCAAACGAGTCGCTCATCTGCCATTTCTAATCCTCAGCATCCTTAGACAACATCCCATGCCTTAAAATAATCGGCGAAGCTTCTTCATATGCAAAAGTAATGGCAAGTTAGTGTTTCATCAGTGCGAATTTTGTTTTTTAATTTAGATTCTGCGTCTCGTATAACAATCAAGTTAGTAAATACCTACTATCGTTATAGATAGATAATAAATGATTTTCATTGCATGACGGTATGATCGAAGAATACCTAAGTAGATTTCAATTACTCAAAGGTCTCAACATTTCAGCTGTTGACCAGCGTGCACACGCTGCAAGTATTTTGACGTGTTAAGAATATATGTCACAAGANCGCCGACAAGGCAGAAGGTCTCAGTTATTCAAAGTCTCAAATTAATCATCACCCACTAGGGGCGGAAGGTCTCAGCTGTCCAGCCCGCTGAAGCTGGCTCGTAAGAAGCAGCGTTAGCAGCTCAAAGAGACGAAGTGACAAGGAGGGACAGGTTGAAAGCAGCAGAAACGAAGACACTCGAACAAGAGGTCGCTTACACGGGAGAGACAGAGAAGGGAAATGGAAGGAATCCTACCTACATAATAACTCATGTAAGGAATCCTATACCTACATAATAACTTGATGTAAGGAATCTTAATTACATAATAAATGTAAGGAATCCTACTTACATAATAACTTGACCCCACAACTGAGACACGCAGTCAGACACCGCGAGCTCAGCGGCGGGGCGCTCAGGAACAATCCCTTTAGAGCGCAAAATCACATAGGACTTCTGACGAGCACAGACGCGGGCCAGAAGTCCCCCCTGAGGGGGGTCACGCTAGAAAACCCGCTCCGCGCAGGAAAGCCGCCACCCGAGCCGGTTCGGACCAAAGCTGTTCGATGGATGTTATGCCGC